TCCAAATGTACATCGAGTCCTTGTCATACTTTCAGTTCCATTGCGAAATACGGATATATCAAACTATAAATTTGATTTCAATAATTAATCATTGTGTACACAAACGATAATAAAATTAATTCTGAGCAAAGATTGTTTATAAAACTGTACATATGTATATTTCTAATTTCTATGGATATTTTAAATTTTGTGATATATAATATATATATATTTTTTTTTTTTTTTGGAACAAATGTTCTTTAGAAAAAATGGTTTTTAGTAACAAAATATGATATTTCGTCTTTATCAGTGTCTAGTGTTGGCAACTTGGAAATAATCTTTTTTCTTTCTTTCTTTTCCAACTCGAAACCCGTAACGTGTTGAGTTTGTGATTTAAAAAGTTTAACTTCCGAAATAATTATTACTTCGGACAAACGTAACACGTTAGAAAACACATCAAAATACACAATGGCTGCCGTTGACTTAAAAACTCCACAAGGCGTACAGTTCCTCGAAAACTACTTGAGCCAGAAAAGTTACATTGTTGGGTAAGCGGCTAACCTAAAAACCATGAGTACTCATTACTCATCCGGTGTACTTGAGCTTATGTATATTATTCTATGATACACACGTTTCAGATATGAACCATCCAAAGCCGACGTTGATACTTTTGCTGCGATTCAAGCACCCCAGGCCAAGACTCCTAATGTGCTCAGGTGGTACAACCACATCAAGTCGTTCACTGAGAAAGAGCGCACCCAGTTCCCAAACAAAAAAGCTGAGTTTTCAGTGTCTTCGGCTAATGCTGCAAAACCGGCAGATGACGATGATGACGATGTAGATTTGTTCGGTTCTGATGATGAAGATGTACTTATTGCATTTTTATATAATATATTAAATACCTACCTTTTATTAATTTATTGCTTTAGTAATAACTTTGATTAGTATACTTTTGCTTCTGTGGTACAAATCATTTTTTTTTTTTTTTGAGAGGGGCAAATTTAGAAATTAACTAGCCAACATCCACTTACCATCATTAACTAATAATTAAAAATATTTTTATTTTTTTTTCTTAATAAACAATTCTAGTATATTCAATTTTTCCAAAAAAAATAGACACATTAGTAAGATATATCACAAAATTATTTATTTTCCAGGGGAAATGCACTCCTGTCTTCAAAGATTTTTTCTGTTAGTTGGTGTATCTTTGTGCTACATTCATGTGATACTTATGCTAAAATTTTAAAAACATTGATCTTAGAATGCACAAATCTATTAAAATGTGACTCTCAAGTTAATTTAATTATAGTGAGACGTTAAAGTTAATAAATAATCAAGTTAAATCTATCATCACAAATGAAAACATTTTAAATACTACCCTTCTACATTTTTCCTTCAATTTAACTTAAATTGTATTGTTACATTTTTTAATGATAACAACAACTACTATTTTGTATGTTGTTTCAATTGATAATGTGTTTTCCAGGATGAAGAAGCAGAACGTATCAAACAAGAAAGACTAAAGGCTTATGCTGAAAAGAAAGCCACCAAAAAAGTAATTATCGCCAAGAGTAGCATTGTACTTGATGTTAAACCATGGGATGATGAAACCGATATGAAACAATTAGAAACACAAGTCCGATCCATTAACATGGATGGTTTAGTGTGGGGAGCTTGTAAGTGTTATATTAATATAATATCTAAAATTTATATTTATTATTATTTCGTTGTATTACAGCAAAATTAGTCGAGATTGCTTTTGGTATCAAGAAGCTTCAAATTATGTGTATTGTAGAAGATGATAAAGTATCTGTCGATGCTCTTACAGAAACCATTCAAGAGTTTGAAGATTATGTTCAATCTGTGGACATTGCTGCATTCAACAAAATTTAAGATATTTTAATTTTTAGATATTTGTCAATTTACTTCAGAAACATGAAAATATAAAGCCAATTAATTTTTAACTAATAAAATTTGTATCATTATTTTATTTTTTTGATTATTTGTCATTCACAGATAATCAAATAAATTGCAATAACAGTAATCTTAAACGCTAAATTCTAATTATCCTTTAAACTAAAAGTATATTTTTCTTAATTTACAGTTTTAATTAAAAAAAATGCAATTTATTATAAATAATATTACAAAAAATATTGCATTTTTATTAATATGAGTCACCTATCAATGTAATGGTATCATAAATCATAATAAGAAATTTTATAACCATATTATAGGTTTACACAAATTTAAAAAAAAATAAGAAACTTATGCGATTCATGTATCATAACTTAATTTTTGTGTGTGAAAAGTTCTTTCTGAATTAAGTCTCGATTTTTCACATGGAAGATAATTTTGAATTGAGGTGAAATTAAAGGTTCTAGTATATTATATTTAAGTTGGAATGTGAAGGCATAAGTGTATTGCTGTGTCATCATTGTAAGTGACTATCAGTGTATTTTTAAAGATGGAAATATTAACTATGTAAATGCTGTAGAAATATGGGGATAAATTGCTTTCTTTAAGTATTGCTCAGATTTGGAATTCTGAGTAGAGGGAATTCCTTTGGCAGACAAGGAATGAAGGTCTTTGTAGATACAATTTATTTAATAAGAAGAGTGGAGCTGGAAGAAAGTTACTTAATTTAAAGAGTAAGCCCTTAAGTCATTCCGGGTCAAAAGTTTGTAATACATCTATGAATACTCTCGAGCAAATTTTTTGTTCTCAAATTATGAAACTATTTTGTCAAAATTTTGTAAATCTAGAGAGTTAAAGAGTGTCTTTCTCTAAATCCAAATTTAGTATTTTAAATAATTTTTTGAGACTTAAAGGTGGGTCTGATTCATTTTAGCATTTTTTTTTTTTAAATAATTTTCTATCACATAAAATAAGACTTATTGATCTGTATCAGGAATATTCATTTTTTAGTTCGTTCTTTGTTGAGTTTGTGTGTAAGGATGATACAGATAATTGTCATATTGAATGGAAGTAAGATAATCTCAACAATTTAAATATATGGGAAAAGTATAAATGATTTTTTTAGAAGATACTTGAGTACCTTATTTGTTATTTTATCGTGTCCCACTGAGATGTCTTCGTGTCTTTGCCCCTTAGCTCAGGAGTTATAAATTATAATATTTCAGATAGGTGTCTCCCAAAAGTGTTAGTTTTTAAATAGGTATCCGAAAAAGCAAGTATAACATCTATTCTGCTTTTATAAATTAAAAGGATGATCTTTTATTTTTAAAAAAATTTTGTTGGTTAGGTTAGAACCCACCTTGAGAACTCAAGAACTAGTATTTTTTTAAATAAATCAAATTTATAGTTCCGACATTAAGAGTTAAGTTTAGAAAGTTATTTGTGATTATACGTTGGGGTTTTTTACAATATTTCAATTTATTTTAAAATAAGATAATATCACTAAATAAGCATTCCTAAATTATAATACAAAATATATGTATTATGTAATATCTACATAACTTACATAAAAATTAATATAAGTTATAACATAAAAAAAGACAAAGTACAATCATAGATAATGTTTGGAACTTTAAAATTGAAAGCAGGTTAGGTTTTTAAATAGTTTCTAGAAATTTAAATTAGATAACATGTTGTGTTAAGGTAATTTTATATCAGTTATATATTTAAAATTTAAAGTAAAATGTCTACAAACATCAAAAATTAAATATATAGAATAAAATCAAAAAATTAAATTAAAATTAAAAATAGCTAATAGTACTATGTGTGATGTGTCTTACTTATATTGGATGTACACAAAGAGTAATTAATAATTATTCTTAATATAAAATAATGATTATTACATAAGCTATTAACATTTTTAAAAATATTCAACAACTTAGATTTAGTTTAAATTTAGTTTGTGTTATATATTGAAAAAATGTCATTCTGTATACTTTATATCTAAGTAGTAAGTACCTACATATTAAGAAACCTAGTAGGAGGTACCTATAGTTCAGAAAAAAAATGGAAAACTAGTTTCCCTGCAGTTGTCAGTTTAAACAAAAGCATCATGTGCAGTTATTAATGAAAGTAGGTAATTTAATTTAAGTCTGAATAACATTGGTAGTATACAAATAAAGGCTAATGGGCTATATTCTACTTTAATTTTTTAAATCAACTACTACCTGTATAATTTCATATCTATAATTACTAAAAGAACGCAACAAAATAACGCTGATGTAAGTGTATATAAAATTTAAATATATATATAATTATACAAATCAAATACTTATTACCACTGATTATTCTATAATCAATGTTATTACCTACCATTAAATTAATATTTTTAAAGATAACTAATTTAGTTAAGTTATAACTAAAGGCTTTTTTTTCTAGATTCATACAAAGAAGTAAAAAACAAGTAGTTAAGTAACAAACAATTGTACTTGTTACAGATGAAAGTGTCACATAAACATAACGTCAATACACATATTTTAACAAAGATAGGCACACAATATTTCAGAAACTCAGAAATCAAATTACCAGATTTCTTATTCACTTATTTTCATATCATGTTTATTGTTTTAGGATTAGGTCAAACAGTCTTATTATTTATAATTTATCATTAATTCGCCGTCGTGCATACCACAAACATAATATTATAATACGTTTATAGTGCACACAGCAATATAGAATGTTTGTTATTTAGCAATCTTAGCATGGACTCTAATCAGTCTAATCGTTTAATCTCTATGGCAATGGGCAATGGCATTAAACTAATTAAACCACAGCTTAAACTTATAGACGGAGCAAGCTTGTAGTTTCTTCGATAAACATTAAACGGTGGCTGCGCTGCACATATGGTTCTATACTTTGCGCATAATGATAATATGCGTAGGGCAAATCAGGTTGTGCTAACATCAGGACGTCTATGCCGTTTAATTTCTATGGCACACAGTTAAATGTATTTAATATTATATATATACATTATTTTCTTCAATAACCTCAAAATTTTATCGTTATCATAACTCGTAAGACGTGCAGCTTCAAGCTTGGAAGTAAGTAGTATTGTAGAATATTCAATGTAGTTGTACCTTGTACTGAAAATAACTTAACATCAATTTAAACTATTTTTGTTCAAATGAATAAACAATAAACAGTAGCAACATATTTTTACACTTTTACAGTATACACGACCTCAAATCACACAAGTGCTCAGATTTTTTCTAGAGAACAACGCAATCAAGTCGAAGTAAACAAGTCGTATCGTGACCATGTCGGAACCGGCAAGGAAACGAGGAGTACTAGCCGGCGGTGAACCGAGCACCAGTAGTGATTCAAGCACCAGCAGTGAATGGACCACCGATGATGATTCGAGCACCATTGAATCCAACGATTCCGATGACAATAATGATGATTTGGTTTCGGTAAATATTTATTAATAACCCATAAAAGTTTTAAATCATAGGATTAAACATGTATTACGATTTATAAATTATAGTATTTCGTATCATTAACACTGTCGTACAATTGGTTAATAAGCCTAACATTAAAATTGACTTTCTGACAAAACCAATGAAAATATTAGGTAAATTCGGTCCCCAGATTACCATTAAACCAGCCTCCCAGTTTCGGTATAGTAGGGATTAATAAAATGATTGTAGATTTAAATCCAGCAATTTTTGACGAAAAAATAAATTAATTTAATTGTAGACAACCATTAATCATGCAACATCAAATATGCATTGTAAAAAGTTAATTTGTTAAATTGTAATTTATACAATAATTCAGGACCGAATAACAGTTGGTCTATTCACAAGTTATTGATTCCCAGTACAAATTTACAATCACTGAGAATAGTTTCTATTAGTTCACCAAAATATATTAAATATTTATACAATATTCGATCCTCATAAAGCAGTTTCATTGTTTCAATATTATTATTTGTATATTTTATTTGTAATTAAAATTGATAAAGCGAAGAACTTTCTAATTTTGTCATATAAATGTAAAATACATTTTAGATCTGTTTTAAAAAACATGTAAATTGGTACTACTTATAAATATTATCTCCAAACACGCATTCAGTTTTGTATATACTGGTGTTTACTAATATTGTATTAATTTTATTTCAGTCTGTACTTAATGTTGAATTTGAAGGGCGCAATCCACAATTCTCAGATTTTCCTGGCGTTAAACAGTTATTACAACAGCTGTTCTTAAAAGCTCCTGTGAACCTGTCTGATTTATCTTCAAGACTGATTACTCAACCTGGCATTGGCTCAGTGATCAAGGTATTTAATAATACATTATGATGCACATATGTTGTCTCCGCAGTCTCATAAACTGTACAACATAGTAAACTTATGACGTACAATTCAAATCTTATGTTATTAGTAAAAAAGTTGATTAGTCTATTTTTAAACTTAAAGGTAAAGACATTATCTGTGTTTTTTAGTAAAGTTACATACTCACAAAATTAGAACTGCTGAACAAAGATGTAGTATGTTGTACAGTTGTAAGACAGAGACTGCACTTCTGGGAATAGTGTCCTGTTAAATGCAAAGCTAATTATATAATGTTTAATACATAATATGTATTAAGGTATTATTATATTTATTATAAGGTTATCTTAGTCTTAAAACAATATACTTAATATTCTTTATAGGTTTTATGAAATTAAAATATTCTGAAAATATTATTATTTTACGTTATGTTCCCTTATAGTAAATTTCAAAGTTTTAATTTCATCTCTGGTAAGTCGCTCAATGCCTACCAAAAAAAAACAATTATTCTTCTTACTCAAAAATCAAAAAAATCTTAACATCCAAAAATATTGCTCTAAAAAAAATTTATTTATTCCTACTCTAGTATTGTACTTTTCTAACCACTCAATACATTAGGTGTTAGAGTGTAATTCTTTAAAGAAGAAACAAAACTTGATTACAAATATCTTCACAACAGTTAAATTACCGACTTAAATTCACCTAAAAAAATGTTGTGGTCTGTAATTTGTGCATTAATTCTTCCAAGACATCTTAAATGAAAATGGCATCAAAACTCACTTAAAAAAAAGCTAAAAAAATTTTCCCTTCCTCCCAAAAATAAAAAAATTAAAATAACCAAAATTGTTGTAACTATCAGCTACTTTCGTTAAACAATTCATATAGACAAATTTTTCTCAATTAAAATTGTTTATTTTTCCTATAAACTGATTTTAAATATATTGAAAAATAAACAAAACTTTGTGATGTAGCAAGTTCATGATGATGATGATGACGACGACGAAGATGATAATAGCATTGTTGATGTTAACCAAGTATACGGAATAACTACAATTCTCAATATTTCACAGAAGGTATAGTCATTGATGTTCTAATTTCATAACCCAACACTTTTTCTGGAGCATTTTTTGTGTTTCATTTTTACTATTAAAATATTTTATGTATGTTATAGACAAGTGAATGTGTAGAAAATTTACACAAACTTATGTTGGACTTGAGCAACCAATTTAGTGATAGTGACACAACACGATTTGTAAACGGATTGTTGAGTGATGATACAAAACAAGTTGGGTTGTTAATAAATGAAAGATATGTTAACATACCCCCTCCTATTTCTGTGCCATTATTTCATGCTATCCGGTATTATTATATTTAATTGACAAATAAAAATAATATTCTATTTTCTCTTTTCTTATTTTTGTCTCTTATCATAGAAAATGTTTATTATTTAGTAGAATTTTATTTTATTCTTAATTTAAAATGAGTTATGTTTCAAAAACTGTATTGTATTTAATTGTTAAATAATATGTAATAAATATGATTTCAGGAAGGAATTATTCAGTTTAAAACCTAAAGACTCGTCATATAATTTTGATTATCTTATTTTGATAAGCAAAATATATAAAGCGAAGAAAGATAAAAAGGAAAACAAAAGTTTTGAAGGCGCCACTGTATTTTGGTCAAATGCTGAAGAAGAGTTCTTTGATGATGTACATAAATAATGAAACGAAAATATGATTTATTTGATGTATATAATATTGAACATTATTTTATTTGTTTTTCAGGCAGCAGATTACAAGTTTGAGTTTTGTGTGCAAAATGACAAGGGTACTGGTCTGGCAGGTAACTGGGTAGAATCAGATCCTGAAATGGTCCCATTTAGACGTGTTCTGATTTTCACTATGGAAAAATTCCTTTCGGTAACTAACACACTGGCATCTTTTTTGGAGCCTGCAGGTACTGTTTACAACAGTGCATATAAGCCTGGATCTATATGAAGACTAATCTATTGTTTATAACAATATATTTATACATTTTTTTTATCAAGTTGAATTAAATTGGGTTGTATTTTTTTTTTCAAAGTAATCTAATGGCATTAAAAAAAAAAAAAAATTATAATACAATTTTGACAACTTTTCTTGTATATTATTATTAATGTTAAGTTATATTCAAGAAGAAAATACATTATTATTAGAGAGTATTTAATGACTATTTTCTGTTAATATTAATGCCTTTATTGTCATTCCTATTAAAAGTTTTTTAACAACTCAATAAATATCTTTATTTCTAAAGAAAAAATGATTCGAGTTTTAGAAAAAACTATTCTCTGAAATCTTGAAATGCAATTTTCCCTGGAAAAGAATATTATAATAAATTAAATGTTTATTATTGAGTAAAATATAATTAGCATACTTCATGACAGGAGTTAATATTGAGTTTTTTTAGAGCAGTGGTTCCTAGCCAGGAGGAAGTTTAGATAATACACTAGGGCATTATAGTAATGATGAAATAATGATAATTTTGTTAAAATAATTATCAGTATTAATAGTATTATACAATGTGAGACATGCTTTCCACACTTTCATTAATAAAAAGTTACAAGAAATTGGTTAGATATAGAAATTACACATCAAAAATATCCCCTCAAGAAAATAATAATCTCAAATTTCATATTAAATTAATTTTATTTATAAAATTGTATTCAAAAATATAAAAATAATATTAATTACTAAGTTGATTTATATTTTTAATATGACAAAAAAAAAATAAATAAGTCATTAGTTATCTTGTAAGATTTATTTTTATAGTTGATAAAAAAAGAACCGCTTAAACTGTAATTTAATGGTTATATGATATTTTTGAAATTTACAATGGGGGGGGGGCGTTGAATAAAAAAAGTTGAGAACTACTGTCTTAAAGGATCCTGCTGTTTGAAAAATAAACATAAAGGTCTAAAACACCTTTCTGGTTATTCATTAACCATTTATTTCCCTCCGCAGTTGAGAGTGCAACTTTGGATTTTAAATCTATGAATAAAAATGAAGGAGAAAAAGGTAGACTATTCCCGTTTCCTATTATTTTTTTTTCTTCTGATCATTAAGGAAATCACTCGAATGTTTTTACTTTCAACCCCTACCCCAAATACCAACTAGATTCAGTTGAATCTAGAACAGTTGCCCTTATAAGCGGTGTAATGACAGACAGGAAAAAACATTGTTAAATTATTTTATATCTGTAGTACGTGTTAATTACTTAAACTTGATACATTTTAGATTCTTATAACATACAACTAAGTAGTTTTTCATTTTGAACACAAATTCTGTAAATTAATACATAATATCCTAGACCCTGGTATATCTACAAGAATAACACGAGTTTAATAAAAGTTTAATTTTAAATACAATTATTTTTCTGCGTTCAATATTAAATAATTAGTTAGTTGGTTTATTTGTTAATTATTACTTATTAGTTATTAGTTATTAATTATCTATTTAATAAAGGTAGCAGTAAAATAATATAAAATTAGTTTTTTATAATTAATAAATATTTTCTTTTGAATAATAAGTCTTAAATATAATAATATAAATGATCATTATTAAATACTCATTAGTCATTATCTGTGTCTTATGGTAAGTAATAATTAAGTTTAACTAATTACTAATTGGGTATTTCATATTAATATTTAAAATTATTTTAAAAAAAAACTAAAAGTAGCTGTTTAATACTCGAGAGCAAACATTTTGTATTTAATTTTTGTTATAGGCAATTATTTCTTCTATTTCGTTTAAATCATCGGTTATAAACATTTTTAATTCATTAGACCTTAACTTTACTTTTTATTCTAACTTGATAATTAACAACGAAAAACATATATATCAGTTAATTGGTTACTAGCACAGTAGGTGCTTACTAGTTACTACCTACCTATATTTACTCGCAGTTCTTTCAACACAAAACAACGAATATAGCGGATATTTAACAATAACGGTATATATCCTGAAATCCTAATCCTGATAATGATGAGTGATGACAAATGAATCGAATTGAAATTGACTATAATCCTATCTTATTATGAGCGGCAGCAAAGTGCAAAGTTCATAAATCATAAATCATCGATAGCTCATGCTTTGATGCTAGGGAAAAAAGTGGCACCCAAATTAAATAGCCATAAATGATATATGATATAATATTCTTTTACTATTAATGGATTTATTAACGATTTCGGTACCAGAATTTTACCATGTTTAATCTATGCATAAATCACAGAAATCACAGACTCACATTCGCCGTCGGTCTAATACAGATCTTTATAACTCCATAGCAATAGCCAATAGGGCATGGAATGTATGATTATTGATATATATTTCAACTTTGATTTGCTTTCACAGGCCACAAATACAAATATATCTAAGTGTAAAGCGCTAACCGCACAAAATCAAAACGTGATTTATTAAAAATTATTTTTAATTCTAGAGTTGTAATTGGTTAAACCAACGGTCAGTAACTAGCAGACTGCTGTCTGAATCCGGACCGAGTTGGGCAGAATACTAGCTGGAACTATCAAAATTCAAAATATCTCAAATCGTAGATTGGGTTATTAATTTATTTTATAGATTTAATAAAGATTTTTTTTTTGCCTGGGCTTAATTTCTTTATTATTTTTAAGTCTGAAATTTTAATACCACGAAAAAAAAAATGACTTAAATAACTTAAAAATCCATTTAAATAAATTCAGCGAAACTTAAAAATAAGAAAAAAAATTTAAAAATAAACTAGAGTACTGTATTTTTTTTTTTTTTTTGTTATACTATATTTATTATACTTGTTTAGTTAAATGTTCTTCTGTTTTTTCTTAATTATTAGCAGAAATAGCTATAATAGCTATGTTAAAATATTTGTTATCGACGATAACTTGTGCTGTATAATTTATTATTTTTACCATCGGTGATTTTTCGGAAGTCTCTTGTTAATCGCAACAATTTTCGTTCATTTTATTATCAAATTGTTAAAAATGCTTAAATATCGTTAAAAAAATGCAAAAAGATGCAAAAAAAAAAACAGTTTAAAATAATTAATATCGCTCAAAATACATTTTATACTTACGAACCAACGTTTCAAAACATCAGAAAAAAGATGTCTTTGCATCAAAATCCCAGCCCTAATTATTTTAATTATCCCACTCTCCAATAGAAATTACTTGCCGAGATTATCTAGTTAGTGGTTACACTAAACAAATATACCTAGATACAATCACAAAAAACAGAATATATAATGGCTGAATGAACATAAATAATTTACATATTTAGTCATGGAATTTATTGAATAAATTTATTTATTTCATTTTCATGATGGGGTATAATATGTTTTTAGGTTTGTTGTTTGATTTATAATATAAATGTATTACCTATATATACCAACTTTAAATACTGACCACAGGGCTTTTAAAAACCCTATGAGTAGGTATTATAACACTAATAATAACCCGAATTTCGTGTTTAAACAACCTACCTAATAACAATAGTAATATTATTAACATAATTATGTCAATACGGTTATCGAAAATCATGGATTTGGCGATCCGGTTAAATAATAAAAGTAGTGGTACAATGTATAATGTATACTACGATATGGGTGTCCCCAAGGGAATAAATTTATTACCTAATTGTAATAATGACAAAACATATTAGTGTATTATAAATAAAATGTATAAAAAAATCTTCATTTATTTTTTAAATTAATTTTTCCCCCCCCCCCCCCCCCCCCAATAGAAAAAAAATCTGAGGACGCCCATGTACTACAAAATCAAGTTCTAAAATAAATAAATACATACTTTCAATTTAGTTTTTTTCGTTTTATGTTAAACGTTTAGTTAATTTATTTAAATCTTGTGTACATATCTAATTCGCTTAATGTAATAGTTGAAAAAAAAAAATTTTGTATAAGTTTAGTGAATAAATAAGTTATACTTTTCTTAAAACTATTACTTAGCTATTTACTAAAATCTTAGTCTGTTCGAAGCAATTTGAATGTATTGATAATCCTTGTATAGTATTGCATTTTAGAATACACGATATATAGTAAGTAAAATATTTTGATCTTGAGCATGATTTTTGGTAACAATTTGGGTCTGATTGATGCTTTTGAAATAAAAAGGTAAATTGCTAAAATATTTAAAACCAGAACAATTTTAACGGAACACAAGTTTTTGACAAAATAGATTTTTTTTTGTTATTCAAAAATAGATTAACCTAAAAACTTAAAATTATACCAAATATATTACTAGTATTAATTATGACTTTATATTCAAAAATGTTGATTTTGGGTATAAAAACTTTAAACTAAGATTTTAGTATAAGTCTTAAGTTTAAATTATTTTGAATTTAAACATTTGTAAAATGTTTATTTCACACAGGTTTAATTACTAAAATTGTTATCTTAGTTAATTTTTACAGGTCATATAAAATATTTTTAACTGACCAATAATATAATAAAAAACAATTATCCAAGTACTTTTATATTTTAATAATAAAGATACAATTCAGATATTATAAATTAGTAAAAAAGTTTGTTTACAAATTAATGGTACAAAATAAAAAAGAAATCCATTTAGGAAATGAGTTCTTAAGTATAATTAGACGTTACAAATTATTAATTAATTAATATAGTAATGTATAACAATACTAACTTAATCGAAGTTTTAATTTAAATGAGTTGCTATAAGCTACAAATACTGGGCATACAGTTGTAAAATTAGGTACTTAATCTAGGCAAAAAAATGTAAATTTGTTTTGATGCAATCTAAATTAAGGACACACTGCACACGGAACACACAAATGTTGAGATTAATCCTAAGTAGTGTCTTATTCGTCCTCTTCATCTTCATTTTCTTCTTTGCTGTCTTCTTCTTCAGCAGATTCCTCCTTTTCTTTTTTGTCACTCTTCTTTGGGCGACCACGTTTACCAGTCTTGCTCTATAAAAGAAAAAGAATAAATAAATTAAATGACTATCATAGTATAATATTAATAAAGTACCTTAGGCTTATCAGTTTTTTTTCCACCGGAAGCTCCAGATTTTGGTGGACGACCTCGGCCTCTTTTTGCTGGAACATCTTCGTCCTTTTTTACAGCATCTTTGTCTTTCTTTTCAACTTCACGCGCCCGCTTCTTGGGTTCTTTAACAGAATCCTAAAGAAAAAAACAAATAAATACAATTTTTAGTATTGCATGGGTCTAAACAAATTAACTACAATAGGATAATTACTTCAGACTTGTCTTTTGCGGGACGTCCACGCCTCTTTTCAACTACAGCTTCTGAATCAGACATCTAAAAATTAAATAATACATTTAATAGTTATACTAGTCATTAAATATTAGCTACAAAAAAAAAAAAAAATAATAATAATAATAATCAATAAGAATAAAGCATTTAGCTGTTTCAAAAATATTTTTTATTAATATTATCATAATATACTATTTAAGTTATATATAAAATTGTTTAATAAAAATTTTCCTATTTGATAGGAAATAAAAAATAAAAAAACTAAAAACCAACAATTAAATTTGTGGTCATGAGAAAACTGTATCAAGAGAAAAAAAAACGCGATAGAAAATGCAGGCAGTCATTACGCCTCAAATAAACAATGAATGTTTGTCGATCGAAGACGTCATTAATATAATTAAAATTTTATATAACAATAATAATAAAACTAGTACCTGGATTGTGGGAAAAAAAACGACGAAGTGTACGAAAATATTAATAGAAATAAAATTAAAAATCCAAACACAAAACGAAACGGACAAGAACTTCAATAAATGAAAAACGCGCACCACTTCCCGCACAAATGCACAATGTAACACACACTCCAGGCAGTCCAGGCATTGGTGGAATCGTAGAGGGGGTTGTTTTATTTATTTTCGTTTAACGTTTTTTCCACCACCGACCAATGAGAGATCGCATAGAAATCGGTTCATTATATTGTTTGGCGTGCACGAGAGACTAACAAATTGGGCAAATCGGAATTCAATATGGAAATGAATAAGATAAATTAACCCCGAAAAGACGCGCGTTACCGTGCGTAGTAAGGGACGCGTAATACTTAAAACGTCAGAAATCGATTACTACGGTGGACTATAACACCACGGCGGGACACCATTACTTATTTTAATTAGCGCGTTTCCAAAAGCCGCTGACCAAGCGGTGATCAAAAACTTATAAAGCCTAAGTCAAAAGTGGACATTATGACGCGCAGAGAATAAGCGGACGTTGGGCGCACAACGGCGTCGTTACCCGCCATTATTCGCGCGCGCGGCACAGCGATTATCGATTGGATTCCGCGCGCCGGTCCCGCCGACAGATAAAAATAATAATAATAAAAAAAAAATTTAAAACACGTCGATGTGTTAATTTTTTTTAATTTAAAAATAAATACTCACTGCTTCGTCTATTGGTTTGAGCGGAAGGTGGCGAGAAATTCGGCCGGAACAGTGAAAAAATCAGTGCGGGACGACTGGAAACGGATATATGACAGCACAAACTTAGGGCCAAGCGCTCGGCAAAACGGTCCGCGGCGAAATAATAACAAAATAAATAAATAAATATAAATGCTGTGCGCTCAACGGTTCGAAAACAACATGTCGACTGTTGACAACAAAAACGCGGCGCGCCATTGGCTGACCGGCCGCCGTGTCCGTTGCGCCGGTAACCCGTTGCTACGTTCTTATAAGTAAACACTAGCCGCCGGACGGACGGTCCCGATAAGTGATAACGATTGATTACTGATAAGAACTGAGGCTCATTCATGTCGAGTGACGTGTCTCTGCGCTGGTATTACGATAGTAACTTTTACTCACATCATTATTATAACATTATACAATTTTCCTCTAGTAGTCTGACGGAAAATTATGAGGTTGTGATTAACGTAAAGAACGATAATATAATTTAAATTTATAACCCGTTGACGATACGTAGTTGGTCTGGCCGTCATCCGTTCTGATTCGTTGTACCATTACACTGGGGACCGTTTTGCCGAGCACACCTCAATGGCGTTCAAACGGGATAAGAAGGAAGAAGAAGATGGTAATAGTTTGTTTCCATTCTGTGCTCAAAGCTTTGTATCTATAGTACACCACACATTACATTGTCTGCATATCTAAGGCCCTGTGCTATTATTATTTTTATTTTTCCCTACTGTTTATCATGCATTACCTACATCTATCTATGTTGTTAAAGTGTAAATAAACAGTTAATCTACTACGGCTGTTCCCACATCATGTATTGTGCATTTTTTTCATATTTTTTTAAAGATAATTCTTAACTGTATAATTCTTCTTTGTTGCCTATCATTTTAATTCAATATTTTCTAACAATCATGTTTAAATGTAAAAGTAAATGTATTTTTAAAGGAGGTAATCCATATCAGAATCTTGAAAAAACCAGTGTTCTCCAGGAAGCAAGGACGTTCAACGACACCCCTGTTAATCCAAGAAAATGCACACATATCCTCACCAAAATATTGTATATGATAAACCAGGTTTGTTGTTTTCTCTTGTGATTACATTTTGTTTTCAAATCAATTTAAAATTAAATATGAAATTAAAGGGTGAACAACTTGGAACAGCTGAAGCAACTGAAACATTCTTTGCTATGACCAAACTATTTCAATCACGTGATATTATATTAAGAAGAATGGTTTATCTTGGAATTAAGGTTAAAGTTTATAGATCATTTTATTTGAATTAATAAATGTAATATTTATTTTAATTATTATTAGGAATTAAGTGGAATAGCAGAAGATGTGATTATTGTAACTTCAAGTTTAACTAAAGATATGACTGGAAAAGAAGATACTTATAGGGCAGCTGCTATTAGAGCGTTGTGCAGTATTACTGATGTATGTATAGTAACATGATAATATACTGTATTAAAACATTTTATTGTATTAATTACTTTTTGTTTAGGTGACCATGTTACAAACAATTGAACGTTATATGAAACAAGCAATTGTTGACAAAAATCCTGGTATTAGTAGTGCTGCTTTGGTAAGCTGTTTACATTTATGTAAAAACACATCGGCTACTGATGTTGTCAAACGTTCACTTAATGAAATTCAAGAAGCTTTAAATTCTGACAAGTATATTGATTTTACTTAATTGTACTTTTATTTTATTTATTTGCTTAATCAATCCTTTTATTACAGTGTTATGGTACAATACCATGCATTAGGATTATTGTTTCACATTCGTAAAACAGATCGTTTAGCTGTTACTAAGTTGGTTGCTAAACTTACAAAAATAAATATGAAATCACCATTTGCTGTTTGTATGTTGGTAAGTAGTTTTTAAAGTAATTATTGTTTTTGATCTTGGTAAAATATTAAAAATAATATTTGTAATTTTTAGATACGAATGGCATGTAAATTATTAGAAGAAGAAACTATTCCACGATCCGAATCTCCATTGTTTGAGTTTGTGGAGTCATGTATTCGTCATAAATCAGAAACTGTAGTATATGAAGCTGCACATGCAATCGTGCATTTAAGTGGCACAGGAGCTAGGCATTTGGCACCGGCTGTGTCTGTGTTACAATTATTCTGCTCATCTGCTAAACCAACACTACGGTTTGCTGCAGTCCGAACACTTAACAAAGTATGTAAAATTAGTTTTCATAAATAGATTAGTTATTCATATTATATATTTATTTTAAGGTGGCAATGGAACATCCAAGTACAGTAACTGCTTGTAATTTGGATCTTGAAAACTTAATTAGCGATTCTAATCGCTCAGTAGCCACTTTAGCTATAACAACTCTATTAAAAACTGGTGCTGAAGCATCTGTAGATCGTCTAATGAAACAAATTGCAACATTTGTTAATGAAATTTCTGATGAGTTTAAAATTGTTGTTGTTCAGGTAATAATTATTAGTTTTGTAACATAAGAAATATTTTTATTAAAAAATATTAAACGTTTAGGCTATACGGGCATTATGTTCAAAATTTCCTCGCAAACACACAGTTTTAATGAACTTTTTGTCTGGTATGCTAAGAGAAGAAGGTGGACTCGAATACAAAGCATCAATAGCTGATACAATTATAGCAATTATAGAAGAAAATCCTGATGCAAAAGAGATTGGTTGGTTGTATTTAGATTATGCGTTTTACAATACTTGCATCTAAATTATAAAATATTGGATTGATGTTAACTATATTCTATTCAAATTAATAAACATATTTGATGGTAACTACTTTTTGTTGGGCGGGATCAAATAATACCAGCTTATCTATCCTGCTGAGTCAATCATCTGTAAGCTGACTGTATTAGGGGAGTCATACATCTGTGTAGCAGTTAACATTCAATTATGTTTCTTAACTTGAACAGAGTATAAGTATAAATGATTGATTTTAAGTTAAATCCCTGTAAACATTTTATGTACTGTGCATTAATGTATAAATGAGCTATAAATTATCTAAATATTTATATTTGATTAGGGTTAGCACACCTCTGTGAGTTTATTGAAGATTGTGAACATACTAGTTTAACAGTTCGTATATTACATTTACTGGGTAAAGAAGGACCTCGCACAAAACAACCATCAAGGTATTTTACAATATTTTTTATCAATATTAATAATAATTTAATTAACAAAATAATCAATTTCAGGTTTATAAGGTTCATTTATAATAGAGTGATATTAGAAGGTGCTGTTGTAAGAGCTGCAGCAGTTGGAGCCATGGCTAAATATGCTGCTAACTGTGCAATGCTTCACGATAGTATAAAAGTACTCTTGAAGAGATGTTGTCTAGATGTTGATGATGAAGTTAGGGATAGAGCTACATTTTATAGTCAATTATTGAGTTCCAATAATCGTCAGTTAATCACTGATTACTTGTCAGAACCCATGCATGTAATATTTACAACTAAAATTTTAATATATTTTTTTATTGACTAATTAAACTTTAAAAAAAAAAAATTGAATAGGTGTCATTGCCAGTTTTGGAAAAGACTTGTCAAGATTATGTTTTAAATCCCACCAAACAACGTATTAATCTAAATGAATTACCAGTTGATATAGTAGTTAAAAATGTTTCTCAAGAGCCAACCAGGAAACAGAATGTTGATAATGTTGTCAAACCAGGTAAATTTCATTATGATATCAAAGTAATAATATATTTTTAATTCAAACATAATTTAGAAAACTGATAAACATAATTATTAAGATGTTAATTATGAAATTTAAATTTAAATTTTATACTTTAAATCAATTACAAAACATAATTTTGTTATTTATTAAGCATATTATTATGTTACTTATTTCTCTCTGATATACATTTTTGGTTTCACTATATATAATTAAAAATGCATATTTTTACTTTTTCAAACTTAGTTGAAGTAATTGTTGAAAATGTGGACGGCCAAAAGCTGCCTAGTCTGGTTGGTTTAGACGCTGGTAAACTTTTCTGTTCCTCTGAACCTTCCATGTTGACTGAACCAGAAACTGAGTATGTTGTGCGGTGTATTAAACATATATTTAATCATCATTTGGTTCTTCAAGTATGTATAGTAATAATTTATTTTTGTTACTTGCTGAGAAATTAACATGTGCAATTTTTAGTTTGAAATCACTAACACATTAGATGACCAAATTTTAGAAGATATTTCTGTGGCATTGGATGTAAGTGAAGGTTTTCAGTATTTAAATGAATTTAAATGTCCTTCAATAAAGTATCAAGAAACTGGCAACGTTTATGTTTATTTAAAATTTCCAGATGATTCAGTTGATGCAATTGGTAAATTTTAAAATATTTTTTGTATTATATAAATTAATATTTTTATTTTTTTATTTTAGCAAGTTTTACTGCCAAAATGAAATTTATTGTTAAGGACTGTGATCCTTTGACTGGTGAAGTTCAAGATGATGGTTATCAAGAAGACTATAGGGTATATATTTTGTGTATATTTATTATAATATTTTATAATGTATAATATTTTAATATTGGATTGGTGTTATTTGTTTTTTTTCTATTATAGTTAGAAGATGTTGAAATGACTCTAAAAGATCAAATGTTAAAAGTAAAAGTAGGAAATTGGGACTCTTTATGGGAGGAAGCTAAGAGTATTTGTTTTGAAGTACAAGAAACTTTTGCATTGCCATTAACTTCTGGAGGTTTATCAGATACTGTCAGTCAAATTATATCATTCCTTGGAATGGCTGCTTCCAATAATTCCGAGAATGTACATCCACCAAATAAATCATCACATGTTGTTAATTTAGCTGGTAAGTTATTTAATTACATTAATGCACTCACGTATTTAAATTATTAATTCTTTTATCAGGTATGATGCGAGGAAACTGTAAAGTTCTTGCACAGGCAAAATTAGCATTATCTGAAAATAGTGTTACCATTCAACTTACTGTACGTTCAATGGATGAAAGAGTGGCTGAACTGGTTGTGTCTACACTCGATTGATTGTTTAATATTATCTTATTCTTTATGTATATTGAAAAAAAGTGTTTGGGTATTGAAACCCATTTTATACATTTTTATTAGTTATATAATATTATCATTTTACACTTAAAATTTTCATAGTTTATGCATACCAATATATGTATTTTAATATTATTATAATTTTTAATAAATTATTAAATATAACTTATGCAATAAGTAGTATTTAAACAGCAATGGCTTATATTTTTTATTAATTTTTTCATTTTATCAAAAAAAATATAATGCAAATAGCCATAATATGGCATAGGTATGTAGTAAATCAATTATAGTAGCTACTAACGATACATTTTTATTCTAGTTTTTCAGACATTCTCTAGCTTAGTATAGCATAGTTACAATGATTAGTATGAATGTCGTAATATATGTATTGTATTTGATCGTTAAGACTGGGACCTTTGTTAATATGTCAGATGACTTGAATGCTTAAATGTATAAAATAATACGTCGATAAGGACGAAAACAAAATATTTTTGTAGGTAGATACTTATTATATCAGCATATTAATTACCTTACTCTGGTAAGGACGGTAGGTATATATGAATGTGTAGGTGTATACTGTATATTATACTTAACATCATGATAGCCCTCGAATATTTTAACTTATGTACATTGTACATATTACATAATGACAGGTCGACACGTCGTTAACGAAATGTATATATTATTAATTATTATGTTGGGAATTTGGGATTAGAATTAACCATTTGGTCGACGTTCTCACCAATTTAATGTATTAAACGGTATGACATTGTATTTGTCCATAATATAAACCGATAATTGTAGACTTGTTGCTTTTGGAAAAACTTACGAGTTAACCAACTACAGTGTCGAGTTCAGAAACCGTGTAAACGAGCGTCGGCGGAATCACCATCGTGATCGATCGTCATAATGTCATCAGCCATCACACACTAGTTCAAAGCAGAAATGAACGAAAACAATTATTACTTATAATTTTAAATTTTTAAATACTTAAGGAATCCGTTATCCGTATACTAGTTCGGAAACGTTTCATGTCGAAATGGAATTAAATCGAATAAAATAGTGTTTTGATGGATTCCGAAGGGTTCGTACGTATATTTTCTAATTCGCATGTCTCAGAACCATACTTTCAAATATTCTGGTTCGACTTTCTATTGTTGTTTTTCACTGAATATTCGAAGTATAATTTTGATCGTAATTAATTAGTGTTTTACTTTAAAGTTAAAACAATTGCCGTACAATTATGGCACAAACTGCTATTAAACCGGTCTAAAGTAGGGTAGGTACACGAACAAAAAACGCGATATAGTAACGCCCTACACAACAACAGCCAACCAACACGTCTTAGTTCTCCTGCTTATATAGGTACGTTCGATCTAAGTTTTGATTTTGGTTTTATTGTCGGGTCGATACTGCGCATTTTCCTTAGTAAAATACGCTTCGGTTCCTGTTGAAAGTCACGAATCCGTTCCGTTCGAACCGGCTGCTCGCGAAAACCTTCAACACAACACCTTTACCCGTCCACGGGTAAACGCGAACCCGGCGGGACTCGACCTTGCGCGTGGCTCACATCACCCGCATGGCGACGACGACCACTATACGGGGCGGCGCGCTGATGTGGCCGACCACGTGTTTCTGGAGCTTGTGCGGTGTGTTCACCGTGGACATGGCGTACAACAGGTTCGACAAGTGGTTCTCGGCGTGGATGCTGGTGTCTAGCGTGCTGAACATAGCCATCACGCCGTGGAGCGTGTGCGTGCTGGACGGCTGGTGCGACGACCAGTTGTCCAGCACTTACCGGCGGCTGTACACCAGGCTGGTGGCGTGCACGTGCCTGGTGTCCCGGGCGGTCATCGTGTACAAGGTGTACAGGCACTTGGCCGGGTTCAGGGACCGGGAACTCGAGTACGAACGCAGCTGGCCAATTTCCAGACCGCGCAGACGTCAGTACCGGGCCTACGCGTCGTACGTGGTCGCCGGTTACCTAGTACTCGTCGTGCCCATAAACCTGTTGCGGCTGTACCTGCTGTACGTGTTCGAGGAGTTTGGCGACGCGAAACTCCTGCTATTCTTCTTCAACATGTACACGCAGAACTGGAGCTTGTGCTGCATGGAGACGCACTACGCCATCCTGTGCTTCGGCATCTACCTGAAATTCCGAGCCATTAATGACGAACTGTCGGCTGTCCGGTCGGACGTCATGGTCAGCAACAGGTACCCGACGGTGCTCCGGTTGTCGTCGTCCACGGCGTTCACGGCCACGGCCGCGTCCGCGTTGCAAGACCCCCGCGGCCGGCCGTTGGAGACGGTCGTCGAGGAACTCAGGGTCAGGCACAGGCTGACGCGCGAGTCGGTCGAACAGCTCAACAGCATGTTCGGCGCCCAACTGGCCCTGTCGCTCATCATCCTGAGCGTGATGATATTGTTTGACATCTACAACGAAGCTTTTCGCGTGGGCACCACGATTTCTAGATCGAAGTTTATCTTTGGTTGGCTTCTCCAATATCTGTACCGGTTTTTCGTAATCGTCATCACGGCACACAGCACGACCCAAGAGGTGAGAGTGAACGATGTCTACAACAACTCGATGTATAATAACAATAATAATAATAATAATAATATATTATTATTATAATGATTAATGAGTATAGGTATAGGATAGGTCATAGGTGTTTTCAGCGAGTATTTAGGTCAGATTTTTACGGTTTGTGGATTTAATAAAGTGAAAAAAAAAATCATAATAATTTTTAAAATGTACCCGACTGGACGGTACTACTGAGTGCCTGCTCTTAAATGTTAATCACCAGTCATTAACCATTATAAGTTATCAAATTTGCTTATTGTACTAATTTTTGTATAGGTTGTAAATTATTTTTAATAAAAAAATATTAAAAAAAAATAAAATGACTTTTTTTTCATTTTTCAAAAGTTTATGCTTTAATATATTTTTCCGAATATATTTTCTAGACTACCAGAACTTTACTTATGTTAAAATACATCGTTAATACGATTGAACTGTAATAATAATACTAACATATTTGTACATTTTTTAGGGTTATAAAACTAAAGTGCTTGTAACAGAAATAAATAATCGGCATTTAAACAATAGTACGAAATATGAGGTCAGTTTATTCATTGTTATATGTTTTAAATATTATTATAATTGATAAATTGGTTCACATGATTTTTTCAGTTGCAATTGTTTTTGAAACAAATGAATCACCAATCAATTGATATAACTGCGTGTGACTGTTTCACTTTAAACGGTCATCTCATCGCTTCGGTAAGTTATTACATCAAGAATTATGTGTTATTAGAAAACTGTATTATTTATTTTATTCCCTAATTATTAAATTACTATAGGATAAGTACATTGCTACTTTTATTTAAAGAATTTCAAATTGTGTAAAAATAAAATAAATATTACCGACTATTTACCAATATTTGTGTAATTATGTTATTTTAGGCCATTGCTGTTGGTACCACGTATCTCTTCGTTTTAATACAATTTCATTTAGAAATTATGCGATTTACAAAAAGCCAAAAATCGTAAATATTTTTAGAAAAAAAAATTTATAGTAAGATAAAATTATGAAAAACATATTTTTAAGTAGATATATAATATTGTGGACTCTATAAAGCTTAAAAATATATCTGAGTACCTATCTATAAACTTACCATAATAATAACAATGTGTGTACCTGTGCTAATAATGAGCAAAAAAAAAAAAAATGAAACAGTATTTGTTATTATATACCGACCAATTATTTACTAAGAAATAACATTATAAATTATTTACTTGTATTTTTAAACAACTTTAACCGAAATATATAAGTTATATAACACTATTAATATTGACGTAAGAAATTAATAGCTTGTAGTTTGTACCTATGGTGTGCTTACAATGTACATTAAAGTCATTATGTATGTATAAATTAAAGCATAATTGTAAAAACATCTAAAAACTGTATAATAAATATGTATAACTTGAACTGATAGTTGTTTATATGCGAAGAAAAATATTGCACCAATATTTATCAATCAGTGGTGGATTTAGGGGGGGTGCTTAGGAGCTGAAGCACCCACCGTTTCGCGTATTTTTATTAAAAATTACTAATAATTCGCCAAGTGGCAAGTTTTTGGTACGGGCTACCAGAACGCACGCCCCGCACCGTGGAGTAGCAAACACCGGTCGTCGACCACGCACAAATTGTACATAATAAGTAATTTAGGACTATTATTATTAACAAAATAGCATCCACCATAAAAAAATCCTAGATCCGCCACTGGTATCAATCATTATATTTATGTTATACGCCTTAACTTGCATCGCTATTATCTCGAATGCACAGTATGGTTTTATTAACTTCATTCCAAAAATGTTTTACCTTAATCAACGTAATACTGATTTTAGTAACTTGCGTTTTCAATTTTGTGATGTCGCCGTTAATCATATGTCTGTTGGACGGCAATTGCGTAGGGGTGACGTTCACCTCGATGCGAGGTACGTACTCCAGAATGATAGCTGTAGCCTGTTTCTTGTCGTTATCTACGTTGTTGTACAAATACTATACTATGATGCCGGTGTACAAGAAAAACATTGAAGCTTACGAGGTGTACTCGTCAACGACCGACACAGAACATCGAAATCGCTGGCTGTTCTTATTGTTTCTGACCTTTTTGTACCTGTCCATTATACTGCCCATTAACATAATGAGGCTGTTATTAATGTACAGAAATGATTCGGGGTTTTTCATTTTGATATTTTTCATGTTCATGTATCTGGAAAATATTGGCATGTGCATGATAGAAATTTATTTCATAATTTTGTGTCGTACGCTGGAAAACAAGTTTTTCAAAATCAACAATGATTTGGAGCATCTTAGTTGGGAAATCGTGGATCCGTCAATGAACATCTTCGAAAAGACGATTTCTGTCGGGCATCGAGTGGTCTACGATGGGGATTTTTACAAGCCCAACGATCATTCAATCGCAAATGCCATGGAAATAATACGTATCAGACACCAGTTGATTCGAGATGCTGTCTACGTATTGATGGATTTGTTTGGCATACCGATGGGCTTATCATTAATTACTTTGTGTGTATTGACGTTATTTGACATTTATTACCAAGTTTTCAACTTAATGGGTGCCAATTCGAGGTCGTTGATATTTATTTACATGTGGTTACTACAGTACTCCATCAGATTTTACATAATAGTAGTAGTAGCTCACAATATGACTAAACAGGTAAGCTTATTTTTTGCATGTATATAAACGTAAGACAAATAATATATTTTATATTTATTATTAGTCATTACTCATTTATAGTCATTAGGTAATTATTGCATTTCAAACAATAACTCTAAGCCTAAAATAGGTACATAAATTTTCTCCAGATGTTACTCGCTGGTCACTATAAACATTTTATTTATTAATGCACTAAAAGGTATATAGGTATATTAACATATGAATAAGATTTGCTTACTATATTTAGGTTAAAAATAGAAGCAATTCCAAACAGCATAATTTTGTTAATTAAAAAAGTCTTAAAATACAAAATTTGAAAAAGTTTCAATTACATTTTCACTTCCAAAATTCTTAATATTATACGTTTAAAATATCTTTTTTTTCTCCTATGTTTTACTCATGTTATAACGAGGAATATGAGTGGATCGATAAAACGATAATACACCATGTGTTCTGTTGGGACGGTGCTACACCTTTAAATCTTGTGCATACCTATTTTATGGTTACTATACAACTTATAAAAACCTTCTGTTAAAAATAATAAGTACAATATTATTTCATAATTTACTTAAATAATTTTTATGAATTTGATATTTTTTTTTGTACGCACTAGTGTACTGGGAATTATTTATGTAGGTATAAATATTAAATTATGAATAATTTGTTACACTTTTTGTAAGTTGTTAAATCAGAACTATTTAAAAATTATAAATTTGTGAAAATTATTTCATATAATATTGCTTATATATTTTTATAATTATTATTTACTTGGTATCAGGTTCATATAATGAGCTTAATTTTTAAAATAATTTAATATTTACAGGGCGCAACCGATAAATAAATATGAATAATTAATAAGTGAATAATACCGTTGTTTATGTATTTCTGATTTACCTTGACGTTAACATATACATGTGGTTTATAGGTTAAGACATAATGTACACAATATTATAATATTACCTTGAAATTATTCAAAAGTATATTATGGGTAGCAATTCCTAAAAAAAAAAATCATATGTGTAAATAGTAATGTTTCGTCTAATACCTAAATGGTCAGTTTTTATCTTTAATATTTTTAGTGTTCTATCTGTTACTTACAATAAATGGCAAAAAAACATACTCTATATTGTTAATGATGTCTTGTATTTATATTTTTTACGCTACACCTCAAATTGTTTGCGTATTGGAAAATAACTGTGACAGTTCAATATCAACGTTTATAAAAGGGCTGTTTGCAAGGGTGGTAGCTGTGACCTGTTTGATATCGAGATGTGTTATTTTTATAAAGGGTAAAACTCAACTGGTACAGTATAAAAAAAATATGGACGATTTCCATGTATTAACACCAATGACATCTTCCGAAACAGATAAATTGAAAAAAATGTCATCTCGGATCGTATTGTGTTGCATATTACTAACTGTACCTGTAAATATGTGTAGATTATGGATTTTATATAATGTAGCAAAACAAACCGTTCCATTTGTTATTTTAGTGTACTTACAAAACTTCAGTATGTATTGCATAGAAACTCATTTTACTGTATTGTGTTATGTTCTTTATCAAAAGATTGTTGGGATTAACAATGATTTAATGGCACTTAAGACTGATACGATTGTGCGGAACAAATACCCGTTCATATCACTAACTGGAGAGAAATATGGAAAAAACGATAGCACTATTGAATACAATAGAGAAGTTTATAAATCCCTGATAGCCGGCTATCCAATGACTAATTTCTTGGAAAACCTAAAAGCCAAACATAAATTAGTTTATCAAGCTGTAAGAAATTTAAATAACATGTTTGGAATTCATTTGGGGTTGTCATTGTGTGCATTGTGTTTATACACTTTATTCGACTTATATTACCACATGCAAGCGATATGGAAACACTCAAAGTATAAGATATTAGTCTACGGCTGGATTTTACAATACTTCGTTCGATTTTTATTAATTACTGTCCTTGCACATTTAACAACGAAACAGGTAACTTTAAATATATATTTAAGCATCTACGTATTAAAATTGGCGTATAGAGCACTGGGCATTTTTAAAAATAACTTTTTTAAAGTAATGCATATGTTAATTTTATAATCCATAAAGCCTTTAAGAAATTTTTGTGGGCCCTTATTTTATAAATAAATTATGAAAGATCAGAGTATTTTGAAAAGGTACTCAAGTTATTACATATAAACATAAAATGATTGAAAAATCGTATAAAAATAGTATGCTTAATTTTTATGTATATATAAAAATATAATATTATCTATTTTATACATGTATAAAGAAAGAATTCACGATTCACCTAAACATTGTAAAATATATTATTTAAAATTTAAAATATAATTAAATAATCATATTTTTAATAGTTTTGAAAAGTATAGTTCGTGTATAAAATAATATATTACAAAACGATTTATTATCTTTATTTAATCATTGTAATGAAATTGTTTGTTATAGGCACTCAAATCGAAAATGCTTATAACGGATATAAACAATCGTTATTTAGATAATAATACTAAAGAAGAGGTAAATCTGTTTTATCAACTTATGGTATTTATTATAATTTAATATTATATATATTTATTGTAATTTATAGTTACAACTTTTCCTTAATCAAATTTCCAGTTGTTCAATTGAATTTACTGCTTGCGATTTCTTCACTTTAAACACTCATCTAATTACATCTGTAAGTTGACTATACAATTATATTGTACGATAGAAACATTTTTAAAGTATTAAAAACTAGTTTTTTCACTAAGTATGGATACCTTTATTTATTTTTAATGTTTGTTGTTTGTAGGCAATTGCAGCTGGCACGACATATCTTGTTATTTTATTACAATTCAATTCATAGATCTACTAACATGTTACTGAAAATAATACATCACTTTATTATATATTATGAACTAATTTATGAAATATTTTGTTTTATTTTTAAATAATAATTTGTTTTAGTAAATAATAAAATATGTGTTGCATTTTCATATTGTATATTAATAAATTTAGTTTAATTTACCTATATCTAAATATTATGTTATGTTATTTTGTTATTTGATATTTCTCCAGGTTATAGAAACACGAAGAACCTATCACTTAGATTATATTGTTAATACTTGATAAATAATTATAAAATATAGGTAATATAACGTTGGTAAAATACTATAACAACTTAATTAACATTGTTCATACCGGTATAAGGAAAATAACCAGTTATTAATGTTAACTAAAAACTATTAAAAAGTATGTGTACTTATAAGCATTTTAAAAGTATCAATATGTTCAATGTACCTAATAGTAAATTTTACAGAATGTGATGAAACCTACTTTTTTTTTTTTTAAATAAAGTTTTTATACTTAAAAGATTAAGTGATATCGGATTATAAAGTCTCATTGTCAAATATTTTACACAGTGCTTAACTACCATCTGTTTAGTTTTTTTTTTTTTTAAAGAAATCAGTGGTTAGTAAAATTATTTGTAGGGCGTTATTTTAATTATGATTATCTAAGCTTATACGTTATTATTTATTTAAATTTCCTGCTAGAAAATTTACATTGTATGTGCGTTTCAATTTAATGATACTGAATGATATTTTAAAATCGTTCATCATAATTTCTATATAAATAATACAAATATAAAAAAAGAAGTATTTTGCTTACACTAGCTCCGAGTAAATTTTGCTTAAGAACATTAATATTTTGATAAAGTTATTTATTTTTACATAATAAAATATTGAATAATATTAGAATACATTTTATTGTTTTGGCTGAATTTATATCTTAAGTTGGTCGTAATGTTGAGTGAAATCCACTCATTAAATACCGCATCAGTAGTTTAATGTATATGTATAAATATGAAATGTTATTTTCTATTAAAGCAAGTCAATTGGTGGAGACCTTTAGAATATCTTTCGTAACATTAAATAATAATAATAATAAAATAGTTGTACTTATACAATACCTAAAATACTGAAAAATCAAAAAAAAGATAAAGTAAATATCAAAATATATTGATGAGTTTTACTTATTAGTTGTAAAGCTGAGTCAACTCATGATAATATCGTATTTTACAAATACTAATATTATAACCAAAAGTGTATTTATTTATTTAAAAAGGACATTAAAAAAAATAATACATTAATGATGGCATTAAAACAAAAGTTTTTGTGCATAATTGGCTAAACTTCCGATGATCATCGCAGAGATACTGATGATAAGGGCCGTATCTCGATTCACAGAGATTAATGACACATTGGTGTTCGTGGACATTCCACATTCTATTCGTCCAGTGTTCGACAACCCGACCTGGATTAGTTATCATATTTAAAATCAAATGCGAAAGATCAGCAAACCGCCTGATTGGGATCAGATTTGTGTGATTTGTGAACATTATTATGTTTCGTAAGTATAACATTAAATTATCACAATTAGGAAACAAATTTAAAATTCTAGAGGGGGGCAAGTGCCTTGTTCACGCTGCCGCCTTTCCACTATCCGAACCGATCTGTGTAATCGCGAGCGGAATGGACTTTTCGGTAACCCCCTTCTATGATTACGACTTTGTCACCACCGCGCTCACCCGTCATGTAATCACAGACAGTTCGTCTCCATCAGCTTTTAAGCGTGTGACTGTCGGAACCGTGTCTGTTTTGTGTCGCCTTTGTTTTTATTGCGACTTGCGAAATTTCTTTAGCCCGTACGTCGTGTACCATTCTAATTACGCGTCTATTATAATTATATTTGAAGTGTTCACACCGTGTCGTGGTTATCGGCGTCGTATTTGGATCGACATTCCGGTGGACTCATTGCGACCGAACGTAGTGTGTTCCATACACGTTTTTTCTTTCGTTACTCTCATTCGACTCCATAACATATTTTTAAGGAGAGCGAAGTGCGAAATCGGGATGTTAATATAGTCTATATATTATAATACTATTATTACATCCGCGATATATACATATATATTATACACGTTAAGTGTCGCGCCGCCGACGTCGACCCAGAAATAATCTCCAGATTATAATTGAATATTATATATGGGCCATTGTCCGACGTCCGTTCTTGGGTCGCTATTTTGAGTGTCGAGCTGATTAGTTGTAGCTGCCGACGACTTGCCGCTACCGCCGTCCACAACGACTACCTATCATCGAAGATCGAAAAGTTTTTGCTATTATTATTATTATTATTTAACATTTTATTCTTTATGGTACTACTGATTCGGCGTGTAATTTATTATTTTATTATAAACAATCATATTTTTATATATCGTATTGTTAGCGTGAAGACGTCCACCTTTCTTAATATTATTAGTATTTATTATTCTATTTATTTTGTTATGATCAATAGTACGGTGTTTTTGGCACTTTATCCAGCATATGAATTTGCGTGTTTTTATTTTACTATTTTATATTTATTATTAATCAACCTACGTGTGTGAGTCATTGAGGCTAACTGTCCAATATGAGTCCTTTTGGCGTACATGCCTCGTCTTGCCCCCCCCCCCCCTAGGGACGTCCATGCTATATATAGTACGCACCCTCGTAAACATTTATGAGATAAATGACTTAAAATATTTCGTATTACAGTACAAAACAATTTTTAAAAAACTTTTTTCTAACGTCTATATACAAATTACAAACCCACTCGAGTGCGGACTAAGAGCCATATTATTTATTATTATTATTACTGCGTATCAACCAGCCCTAACCTATGCAGAGTACCTAATCGTTGTCATGCACAATAATCGCGCGTATACCATCAAATACCGATAGGTACCGCAAACGCGCCGAGACGTTCGTCGCGGTCGACTATGTCAGGGCGGTGCGCGCAACCGTCCGGGCGGCGCGACCGCACAGTATCGACCAGCAGCAGGCGAACTATCGCGCGATAAACCGCCGCGTCATACGATCGGCTGACGCGCGCGTCGGACGATGTTCAAGCGGAACAACGCGTTCGTCGGCCGCTGCCGCCAACGTCTCGAGGCGCTGTTCTCGTTGACGCTGATCACCGGGTGCCTGTTCAACATCGCGCTGTCGCCGTACTGCATGTGCGCCATGGAATCGTGTCACGAGAAAGTGGCCGAGGTTCTGGTGCAGGTCAACACCGTGCTGCCCCGGACGTTGGCCGTCGTTTGCCTGGTGTCCCGGGCGAAGACCATGCTGCACAGCGCGAGCGGCGCGTTCAGCGAGTACGAGAAAAGGACGCGCAAGTACAAGACGTGCTTCCCGGACGGGGCGGGCAGCGCTTTCGTCGCGTTCGTGGTGTCCGTGTACGCCGTCACCGCGTTGCCGACGAACGCGTACCGGCTGTACATGATCCACCGGGACGTCGGCGACCGCACCGTCACCGTGTTCTTCGTGCTCATGTACGCCCAGAACCTGTGCACGTGTTCGTCGGAAATCCACTACGTGGCGCGCTGTTACGGGCTGTACCGGCGGTTCTGCCGGATCAACGAGGACGTGTCTGCGCTCAAGTCGGCGACGGTCGTCGCCAACCGGTACCCGACGGCGTTGCTGTTCCAGCCGTCCGCCTCGCACGTGTCGCCGCCCGCGGCCGTGACGCGTCCCACGGCCGACAGCGTCGAGCTGCTCCGAATGAGGCACCAGTGCGTCCGAGACGCGGTCGGCGACCTCAACGACCTGTACGGCGTCCAGCTGCTGTTGTCCCTGTGCGTCCTGTGCGTGATGACCGTGGTCGACAGCTACGGAGAGATATTCGGCGTGTACACGCTGGCCCAGTCACAGGTTTTCTTGTACGCGTGGCTGGTGCACTATTTGTTTAGATTTTGTACCATCGTGTTGACGACGCATTTCACGATGAAACAGGTGACGGACGAGCCTGCTGTGAATACGTTTTAAACCGTGCTTTATTATACGCAGTGCTCAAATTGGGGAAAAATAAGTAGAGGAGATCAACCCAACGATTTAAATACTGCGTTCCAGTTGCGACATTATTCTTCGACACATACGACTTGTTGGGGGTTTGGTCCCCACACCTCCCTCCCACGACAAGACTAATTAAAAAAAAACCACTACATTTTAGCTGCATACATGCGTAAATTCAAAGTATTATCCGGCAATCGGTCAAAAAGCCCGGCGACAAAAAGTTCGTTTTAAAAAAAGTTGGACTTAAAGTCCGGATTCAGTGTTAGGATTTGATAAAAAGTCCGAAAATACAAAATATTCTTTTAAGTTTTCATTTATAAATATATAGTTTATTATTGATTTTAATTAATTTTATTAGGTACCTATAGATACATGTATTTAAAAATAATAACATAAATTACGTTTCCTTTTCGACAGTTCTTCAATTGTTAATTCATTGTTAGACATTTTAGTTCAAACTTAAATATTGTAATTTTATATTTTTTATTGATTCGTGTTTTTTTTTCGGGTCGTATGTCATGTATAGCTTTTTTGCCTCATTTAATAATCAGCTTCCAAATTGTTGGATGACTATGCGAAACAATAAGAATAAGAAAATATAAAAAAATATTTAATAATATAGTATATAATGTACAAACATTTTTAAGTTTTTAAAATAAATATTTATTGTACAGATTATTTTGTATTTTCGGACTTTTTGTCAGATCCTAAAAATGTAATCGGACTATGAAAACTAAATCCAGACTTATTGTCCAAGTTTTTTTAAAACGGATTTTTCGTCCGCGATTCGTATAATCAAAGTAAGTACCTAAATGTGAATTTATGTACACTCAATTTTCTCAAATTCATTCAATACATTTAATTTTGTCACTTAAAATGATAACTTTTTAAAGTAATTAAAATACCTATTTTGATAGCAATATCTATTTGTGCTACATTGTTGCTGTAGGAAATAAAAAAATAATGATTATTAACATCTTGAAAACATGAAAATATTATTAGTAAATAACAAAAATATTTAAATTTGTTAACATTTTAAATCTATATTAAAAAAAAAAATTATTTCTGGTGTATTTTCTAAACTCCCCCCTTCCCATAACAATGAAAAAAAATAATTGCGATGTTAAAAAAAAATAGTAGAAGAGCTCCGTTCCTCCCTACCAAATTCAAGCACTGAATATACGGTATCATAACACTTGAAAGTTACAAGCACTTAACCTTATGACGTGTTGTCCTCGTATGCTCCAAGATAACGCAAACTATATCGAAAAATCTATCAGGCCGGCACTGTTAACGTATGCAGTGGTGAGATACGAAGTACATTTTTTATCACCTTACTCGGACGTTTCTTTTATGATTATTCAATGACTTTATGGTTCGTACCTTAAGGCCTGATTTAGTCTTTTTAAAAAAGACGTCATTATAACGACTCCTATGTTATTTATATCTTATATCCTATCCTGGATCAGTGTTAAAAGGTTAAAAGTAAGATGAGTGCAAAGTGCAAAGAAAAATATAACGTAATCCTCGGAAACACCTTTGTTATAACTTATAATAAAGCAAACATAAAATGGTTTACTGATGTCCGCACAATAGCTGTTTGCCTCTCCGCGTACGACCGTTACTGACAAAAACACCTGCCGAACTTTATCATAATAGAATTGGAACTCGCACACGGTCACAGCAGCAGCGGCGTTTAAATTTAATTCGAGCACCACATAAATGACATAATATATTTTATATTGCCTCATCACAATTTGCTTCTATAAGGCCCCACCTATGTTTAGTGGCTAACATATTAAAACATATGTATATAGTATATATATTTTGTATTTTTATTATAAGTCTATAAAGTTTACAACAGTAGGTAGCATTTAATATACCTGCTATAGAGCGCGTATAAACATAGCAGACATACATTAATTGTTTTTATCGTTTTTATGTATCAAACTATGTTGTAGTGTGTTTTAAATTTTTAGCGAAGTGACACAAATGTATTTATTTCATAATGAGGTGTGTTTTTTATATTTGTAAACATTTTTGGGGCAGTAAAAATGTTAAAATTAAAAAAAATAAATAGGGTGGTTCCTGATGGCATACTCGATATAGTCGGTATTTTGTGGGGCCAAAAGTATAATTTATAATCAGGAAAAAAAAAAACAATTTTACCCAAATTTTATTTTTAATAAAATTGATTTGGTTTTTTTTTGGTATAACTTAAAAACGAATAATCTTAGGTATTATTAATTTTCACCAATTTTTTTTTATTTTTGTTTACGATAAAATTTTAAAAATATTTTGATTACTTTTAAGCTATTTATAGGCATAATAAATTTTTTATTTTTTTAACTTTTTTTCCTATAAATGTCGATTGTAAATTATTTATTGGATTATAACGCTTGGAAATGTAATATAGAAATTCACTTTCTCCGCTCAGAATCGTTTTTCGTATAAAATGATATAACATTAAATTAAAATTTAACATATCTACCTATAATAGTGATCTATTCGACACCTAGTGTACAGCATAGTGGTATGTACTTACTTCTTTATCTTTTTTTTAAATTTAAATTTTAAACATAACACAATTAATAAAGATGATTTTTTTTTAGCTATTTATTATATTTTTTGGTAATATAATAGCATGTATAATAGTTAATTTTTAATAAAAATATAAAGTATTCGAGCACAAATCATATGAATCTGCACTCCGTCTACACTGTCGTCATAATTCCAAATCAATATGCGATTCTTTTTTTCGGAAATTCATAAAATATAGGCGATCGACCGACGACCTTAAATTCTAATGCTCATGTTTGATTTATTTATAAGTATATAATATACTAGTGATGTTATTTTTTTTGGCTTGTTTTCCTTGATGGCCATATCTTTAATTTTTTGTAAGTAGACCTAATGATGAATTTGTGTTCAAATTGCTAATAATTTTTCAGAAAATATTATTCATTTTTTTTGTTTAAAACCGTGATATTAAAATAATAATAATCATTCAATATTCATAACATATTTAATATATGTACTATACTCACTATTTTTATCTTTTAGGCCTACAGAACAAAAAGTTTAACAACCGATATAAACAATCGTCATTTAGATATCAGCACAAAGGAAGAGGTAAAATTAAAACTTTATTTAATAATGAAATATCAGTAAGTTATTTTTTTCAAGTTTTAAAATTAATTTTTGTTTGTGAATTTCTAGTTGTACTTATTTTCCAATCAAATTATTTGTCATTCAATGGAATTTACTACCTGCGATTTTTTCACATTAAATGCTCATTTCATTACTTCTGTAAGTCAACATATTTTATTTTAAAATATGTATTCAATTGAAATACATCGTTGTAGACAATAATAGAAAATATTACAGCATTATATTTAATTATAAGCTATAACTATGTATAACATGCATTAAAAACGTGTATTTGAGTATATTTATATGTAAATTGCATATAGATAATTTCGATAAAATAAAAATAAAAAATTTCCAATATTTATTAACGACATCTAAATAATATTATTATGAGAAAATTATAATATTAACTTATGCGTTTATACTATATTTTTATTAATCGTACAGATGATTTTCTAATATACATTATTATTTTATTTATAGACTATTGCTGCAGTCACGACATATTTCATTATATTATTACAATATGTTCATTAAAATAAAGAAAATATTAATAAAATAAGCAAATAAATACATAAGTAAATTAGTAGTATAATTTTAATATGATATATGTTTTCGTTTTTTATTTTTATTATTATTCTAGATTTTATTTTATTAACATCATATTATAGCTTAATGTTTAGTTATACATATTATTTTAAGTATTATTGAATATTATTTACTATTTAGATTATATCATAGTTATAAAAATAAATCGGACCCGTTTTCATTAAAACTGTTGTAAATTTTCAATACTATAAAAGCTTTTATACAATAAATTAATTTAACTTTTACTAAAAAGTTCATTTTACGAGAATTAACCTCACAAGTGCAACGATACCTCTAAAACGTGTTAAAACTGTTAATGCCTCAAAGAGGCATGGTATTTTACTAAAACAATAACAATTAGGTAAAAAAAAATAAGGGGTGCTAAATTTGAACTAGAGGTGTTAAAGATCCTTTTGCACTCTCTTAGTTGCGTCACTAATTAACCCATATAGGTAAAAAGTCTTATCGATTATGGTATTATACATTAAAAATTACAATCATAATATATGTTATTTTTAATACGCGGATTTTTCCATTTAAGAAAACCAATAAGAACAAAAAAAATATACACTAGCTAATCGAAATCTAAAAATAATAATCAGTGCTTAATCTGGATCTGATATTTTGACAATAATTCGCTATTAAATATTATATTATCTATATTTCCCAATACACGAAGGTCATTTTATAAAATGCCCAAATCGTATCCTTTGCCCGTAATAACTATATAAATATTATTCTGGCAAAAATGTGTGAATTGATCAATTTCTCATTTGATGAAAAAGAGTATTATTAAAAGTAAGTAAGGAGTATTTTTGGTCACCGGTATTGGTGGAAAATAAAAGTATATTTTTGCTAAATTGTGTTACGCCCCCATAAATTAATTGAGTGTAGTTTGTTTTGTTTGTTTTTAGAAATAACGATTGTTAAAGAATTTATGAATAAATAATAGTTATACCATTTTTAAATTATTGAATGATGTGTACTTCTTAAACAGAAAACAAATTTAAAGTAGTAAATATAATAATAAATTCATAAAAAATAATGATACATCTTAATTGTTGTTATTATTTTCTATCAAAACAGGCAGTTACTTGATCGTCACTTGATTCGCAATCCATCATAAGGTTTCAAATAAATATTCAATTTTTATAAACGTATTTGTGTAATAAATTTAAACATTCTATTTTAACGATAATGTGTTATTTTAATACATATCATAACAATGTCGATGTAGTGATTTCTATAATAATAGTATTATCATGTATTTATACCTGTAAAGAGTCTTCACATTATATGTGTAAATTAAATAATTGTAACACCTCAAAATCTACGACTATGATATCTATGTTTCCTCGTGCAGTTTCTATTGTGTGTATGATATCTCAATTAACGGTTGTATACAAACATATAAATGATATTGATAAGTACGAAAAGAATATCAAAAGATACGAAATGTACTATCCGATGGACGTTTATAAAGTAAATTTTCGTATTTTTGTTATTATTATGGTGTCTATGTGTGCTATTTTAATACTGCCGATCAATATTATCAGAATTTATTTACTTTATGATCAATTTCGAGATAATGCAATGGTTCTGTATTTTTCAATAATGTATGTACAAAACTTAAGTGTGTGTATTACCGAACTACAATTTATTGTTTATTGTTTCGGATTATACCTAAAATATCGATCCATTAACGAGGACATGGCCGTGTTGAAGTCCAGAACAATCGTCATAAACAGATACCCGTCAGCATTAAATCCTGGAAAATATAACATCATTCATGATAGTTTGGATTCTAATGACGATTTTTGTCGAAAAATCAAAGAGTACCACTTGGTGAATAGTATCGAATCACTTAAGATGAGACATAGATTCGTCAGTGACTCTGTTAGTGACTTGAACGATATATACAGCATTCAATTAGGGTTGTCTCTATTTATTTTATTTCTAATGACATTGTTTGATATCTATGAAGTTGTGTTAACAGAATATAACATGTTTCAAATGTATTGGATGCTATATATATGGTTGTTTCAGTATTCATTTAGATTTTGTATGATTATATTGACAACACACGTTACTACAAAACAGGTAATTATTGTCAATATTAATCATTTGATTCAAATCACTAAAATTATCAAACTATAAAAATTGTTAAATATACTAAAAAATTTAATGAAACAAATAGAAATTATCATAACTAGGTGGCTTTTTTAACAAGTAATTTAATTTTTTTGCTGTACCATAGAAAAAGGAATGTTTATACCTTAAAAATAAATATACATAACCTACAATCTATACGGCTTATATGCACTAATAATTTGTGCAAAAAAAAAAAAGCCATATAGGTGTAGTTGTATAAAGGTATTGCATAATATGCAATTACACTTATTAAAATAAACTAACACGTGACCTTAGACGTTAAATTTACTTTTATTGACATAACCCTTATTTTTATCCATTTTGTGATGTATATTTTTTATTTACTAACCCTTATTTAAACTATACATTTCATAATTTTTTTTTTTCAAGGCAAACAAATCAAAAACGATTTTAACTGATATAAATAATCGGTATACAGACAACAATACAAAAGAAGAGGTGAGTTCTGGTAGTGAAAAGTTTAGGGGAATGATTTTCTAGATCGACCCTCCTTTCTTTATGATAGTTAGTAAAGAATAAAACGTAAGTATACCAGATGCCTAGAAATTGAATGAAAACAGTATTTTGCATATACATTTTATGCCATGTATAATAAATTCTCTCACTCTCTCTCTCTCCATTTTCGTAGTTTTGAAAAAAAAACGAATACTGAGTAATTTAGTAATTAGCTGTATGCTTGTACTTAAATAAGATTTAACATAAACATTAATAGTATACTATTAATACAATTTTTAAATTTATTTTTAGTTACGGTTGTTTTTGAAAGAATTATGTAGTCGTTCCGTGGAGTTTACGACTTATGATTTCTTCATACTAAACACACAAATAATTACTTCTGTAAGTTTATGTAAAATTATATATTTATATAATACATATAAAGTCGTATTTGTTAAAATAATAATATAGTTGGTATTCAGTTTAATACAAGAGTGAGAACCTAATAAATCTTTGACATTCAATTCAGTTAAATTATTATGTGTTTATATATATAATAAAAAACATTTCATAATTAATATGCCGAGTTATTGAATGTAACAGCGAAATCAAAATTACTGAGTTTACGTCAATTGGACGTTTAAAATTGATCGTTTGGTAAATTGGTTGTTTGATAAATTGGTCAAAATATATTTTCGTCGCAAAACATGAATATTAATTTAAGAACGTTATAAATAGATACAAATCGACAATAATCATTATTATACATTTTGCGATAATAAGTTGAATAACAGTGTGTAAAAATTTAAACTGTCAGGCTAAACCGTCTGAAAATGGTCCAATATTGTACCGGAGCAGAATTCACTAGAAAATGGAAGAAATATGATAACACCGCTGAAGTTAGGTTTTAGGACAAATACAATATGTAAAACATTTAATAATAGAATATTATTTGATGAATATATATAAGGGATAGCTCATAACTTATAATACTTTTCACACGTATAATTTTTTATAACTTATTTTCACAAATATTGCTACAAATTCTTTTAAGAAAAATTATGACAAAATATTATTTTTATTATTAATATATATTAATTATATGTATACATATTTACTAATTTTCTAAACGACTAATTTTCCAAACGACCAATTTCAGACGATCAATTTTACCACGACCAAATTCATACGACCAATAGATAGTACCTCAAAATAAATGATGCTAATTGGTTACTAAAGTCTGTTCTCGAAATTATAGAAATTTGAAATTAATTAATTAATTATAAAATATAATCTACATTTCGTGATAAATTTTTCATTTATAAAATATATTTTAACAACTTCCTTGCGGATGTCGGAATAGTTATTCATAATTTTATTTATTTGTGTTTGTGACGTTTGTGTAACGCTGAGTGCCAAACACTATAGGATTTGATGTTTTGAACGTTTTAAATTTTTTTAAGAAAAATTACTATACAAATTATATAATCTTAATAAATCACCTGAAGTTTTCAGTACTATAAATAATTATTCTCTATTTGATTTTACATTCATAATTTTCAAAAACATTATTATAACGAGTATTTATAATGCACTATAAATTGTATAACTTATCTTATAAAAATATGAAATTAGTGTACTAATCGAATGCATTATAATACTTTTGCAGTTTAAGTGTTAAAATATATAATTATTCACTATAGGTTTTTTCAATTTTTTTTTAATATTTGTTTTTTTTGTTCTGATACGTAGAAAATATCAAATATTAATAATTCTATGACTTATTAATTATTCTTATTAATTATTACATGAAGAATTATTTTGCAATCTAATACATAATTTTTGTCCATATTTCAGGCCATAGTCGTGGGTACAACGTATCTCGTTATATTCTTACAGTTCCGTTAGATCATAAAACAAATTAAACTAATGCAACATTATTATTTAAGACTAGAAAATATTTTTAATTTTAATTATTAATTAAACTATGAACATAGTAAGTCACAATTATTTAATAATTATTGTTATGCGTACGTATAATTCATTAATCAACTCGTATGAAAAGTTTGTGTATTAAAAATTTAATTTTAAATTGCTTACAAAATTTAACAAAATTTATCAGGTGTAACCTTTAGATATTTTTTAAGAACAACTTTAGATGAAATTTGTAGACTATTTAAACATGTTCAATATGAAATATATACTAATGCATGTTAAACATTTTAAATTTATGATAAACTTTCTGCACGCATTTCATAAAAACATTTTTTTTTTTTATAAACTATCATTTGCTTGATTACAGATCTTGATCAAAATACAAGTTTTAATCAAACAGACTCATTAAGTTTTGATGGATTTTAAAATATTCAAAAATTTAAGTTTATAATTAGTAAATTATAAAAGAAAATATTTTATTCATGCAACAGCATTTATGCAATTAAAAGTTAATTTAAAAATAATCAATACTATTTATTAGCAAATTGTTTAAAATATTTTTTAATAATTTTCTAAACTAGGGGAAAAAGATAAAAATACTTTTCAAAATAAACTGTATTAAATATTAAGAAATATTCTGCTTGAAATTGACTTTTCAAGGTAGTAAATTTATAATGTACTTATATTGAGTATGAGTTAACGTTCTTAAGTACTTATATTATAATATTTTTTGAGCAACACATACCAGTTTTTTATACATACATTTCCTTGTTCGTATAATTGTTTAGTGTTTTTCTATTAAAGTTAGTGTTTTGTTATTTAACAATGTTTAAGTTTTACTTAAATAAACTAAAATTCTACCTAGAAATAATAGTTTCTATAACTTTGAGTGTAACATGTATATATAACTTTCTAAATTCACCAACATATGTTTGTTTTTTGATCAGTTGCAACGGTGAATTGTCAACATCTGTAAAATCTGCGTTTCCTCGATTAATTGCCATTGCATGCCTAGTTTCTAAAATTACAGATATGTTCAAAAATTTAACTTATTATCCCAAATATAATAAAAAAATCGAAGAATATGAACTTTATTTTCCAATAATTGTTTCCAAAAAATCATCTAGGAATATTTTCATTATATTTATTGGATTTGCATATATCAGTATCATACTGCCATTAAATATAATAAGACTTTATTTAATTTATTATAATTTGCAAAAAATTAACACATTAATTTTTTTTACATTGATGTACTTACAAAATTTGAGCATTTGCCTGATAGAAATATATTTTATTGTGCGTTGTTTTGGATTATTTCAAAAATTTCAAACTATCAATGAGGAGTTAGCTCTATTGAAATCAAAAACTATAACTAAAAACAAATATCCAGCGGTGTTACTAAATGAAGTACATAGTAGAATTATTAATAATTCACAATGTCATACGTTAGTTAATAGTATTGAATTACTTAGAATGAAGCATCAGTTTGTTAGAAGTGCTTTACGCGACCTTAATAAGTTGTACGGAACTCAAATGGGGTCGTCCTTAGTTTACTTATTTATTATGGTTTTATTCGATATCTACGGAGAAGTAATCACTAAAGATTCAAAAACAAGATCCAAGATATTTATTTACGGATGGTTATTGCAATACGCATTCAGATGTCTTGCAATTATTATTACAACACATTTCACCACAAAACAAGTATGTAACTAGTGAATTATTATTTGATTGTTAATAATTATTATTTAATTATTTATCAACATATTACACCTTAAATCGAAAATATTGAGATTTGTGTTAATGTATTATTTACGGTTTATATTAAATTTTACGATTTCAATTACTAAGATTGTTTAAGTAATTTAAAAAGTTATGACGATGCTAAGTTTTTTTTTCAAATAAGAATCATTCTTATTTTTTTTATCAGTTTTCATTTGAAAGAAAACAAATGTATTATTACGGGATAACCCTTAAATAGTATAAACAATTTAAATATTTATACGACTAAAAATAATTAAAACTATATAAAATATATACTGTCTATTCCAAAATCAGAATTTAAATTAATTATAATTAATTATTAAAGGAAAAATGGGTGTGATCATTTTTGGTGAATCATCTTGTATGATACATGATATTATAATATGAACGTCAATTAATATAATACAACAATATACTACAATATAGTAGTATATTATATAATTTTTTTTTTTTATCAATTTGAATCACCTATTACACTTTTTTTCTTTACTAACTATTAATATATTTCTATAAAATTTTCATTTTTAGGCTTACAGTTCAAAAATGCTTATAGCTGATATAAATAATCGATATTTAGATAAAACCACAAAGGAAGAGGTAAAACAATATTTTTTAACTACTGCAGTTATTGAATCATCTAATCCTTTTATAAATGTTATATTTTTTTAGTTATACTTATTTTTTAATCAAATATATCATCATTCAGTGGAATTTACTTCGTGCGATTTCTTCACACTACACCCCCATCTTATAACTACTGTAAGTGATTCGACAATTACATTTATAAATTTATTTTAATTTATTTATTGCTTTTTATTGCTATGTATTTATATATTAATAATATGTAAAATATACATTACGTATCCATATTATCATCGTTCTTAAATAAACAAAATTAATTTTAAAATAAATAACAAATAAGTATTTGATATGAAATATATTTCATAGGATCCAGAACATTTTGATGTAAACAATTAAAATATAATCATTTTATTATTGTTTTATTTTAAATGTAAATAGTACGTATATAATAAAAACAAATGTTTACGTTGATTTGAAATATTATACGAAATGTATTAATTTAATTTATGTATAAGTATTGATTGTACAAAATAAAAAATATTTTTTTTTTTGTTTAGGCTTTTGCTATTGGAACAACTTATCTTGTTGTATTATTACAAATTCATTAAACAGTATAAATTGAATATAATCAACATCAGTTAGTCTGTTTCTAAACAAAAATTATGTAGCAGTTAGCCGATGCAACGCAAAAATTAATAAAAATATTAAAATATAATTTAAACATTAAATTGTTTTATATATTTATATAACACCTGAATTATGAAGGTAAACGTCAAACAATAAGTTAACGATATAGATTATCACGAAAGAATACTTAATTTTGGGGATATATCAGAGCAAATATAAAGAATAAAATAAAATTATATTTCTTTCCTAGGTAGTTAAAATCTGTAAAACATTTTTTATGTATAATTAATATGTTAAAAATGATAAAAAATATCATTAATTCGTGATTATTATTTTTGTAATAAAAATAGTATTATTGTTATTATTAATTACCATACATTTTTATTAACAAAGTTTTTACAGTGAATAATAAATTAACAAACAACGTAAGTTAAAAAACAATATTTAATTATTATAATATGAAAAAAACATACCTATACTGAATAAAGAGTAAACAGAATTGTTGTTTTTGTTTTATTTTACCTCGGTGATTAGAAATCAATCATATTTTAGGCTAACAGTGTGACTTTCACTTTTAAATACAAAATATTATAATTTTATAAAAGTAGTTAAGCATAGTTTGTTAGGTAGTTTATAGACTATAATGTTTCATTTAATGCATAAATGGCCTATTTTGTTTTGGAACATTTTTAGTGTAATTTCTATCGATTTAAGTTACAATAAATGGCAAATCGTTTTTTCTACGTTATTAATAATAACATCTGTTTATAATTTCTATAATACACCTAATGTTGTATGTGCAATGGAAGGGAAATGCGATGGTTCTTTATCTACTGTAATAAAGGGACTGTTTATAAGGGTGGTAGCAAGTACTTGTGTGATATCAAGACTAGTTATATTTCTTAAAGGTAATAATATGTTGATACAGTATAAGAAAAATATAGAAAAGTTTCATTTGTTCAAACCAATGACTAAATTTGAAACGGAAGTATTGAAAAAAGTGTCATTTCGAATTGTAATATTATGTTTATTTTTCACTGTACCTGTAAATTCTTATAGACTGTGGAAGATGTTTATGATGTTATACAGATTAGATTTTACTATATTTGTTTTTGTTTTTATGTATATTCAAAACATGAGTATGTATTGCGTAGAAACTCATTTTACCTTCTTGTGTTTTATTCTCTATCAAAAATTTGTCGGGATCAACAAAGACTTAATGGCTCTTAAAATCGATACTATCGTACGAAACAAATATCCATTCCTGATGCGGGTAAGAGAAAAGTATGGAAAAAACTTAAATACCGTTGATTACAACAGAGATGTTCTACAAACGCTAACCGCCGGTCATTCGATGGCAAATTTTGTTGAGCAATTAAAAATTAAACACAGAGTAGCTCGCGAAGCAGTGAAAAACTTAAACGATTTGTTTGGTGTTCAATTGGGATTGTCAATGTGTTCATTATGTTTGTTCTCTATGTTTGATTTGTATTATCATATCCGAGGGATAATGAATCCAACTAAGTCTAATATACTGATATATGGTTGGATTTTACAATACTCCGTTCGATTTGGATCTGTTACAATTTTAGCACACCTAACATCGAAACAGGTAAATCAAATACTATATTATTATGAAAAGTTTAAACGTGATGAAAAAATCTTAGATTTATTAAATTGTTTATAATGCCATTGTAATAAATATATTATCGATTATTTATTTATATCGAACACAATTTTCTCAAAAATTCGATTTATAAATGTGTAGTAATATTTTTATCAACGCATACCTAGCTATAAAAAATGGAATTTCATAACCACATTTAGATCTGAAATATTGAGTATACTAAAATTTTGAATAAATGATCTAGATAGTATATATTATAAAATCGTATTTGTAATTATTATGTAGTATTTAATACGTCATATATATATATATTAACATATAGCGTACTTAATTCCTATTACATTCTTACAACCGACTTAGATATCTTCGATGATATGGAATTTCCCTTTTTAAATTTTGTCAAGTTTATTTTTTTTATACCATACAGCTATTATAATAATTAAAAAAAAAAGTATATGATATTTTAATTGTAAAATTACGATCATGCGGCGAGTTAGATAGACAATTTAGCTACACCATTGTCGTAGGTTCATTTTCCTATATCTCAAAATAAAATTTTAATACTAAAAAAATAAATAAATAAAATTCAATAGTACAATTATAACGATCGCATAGCATTGTTGATTACTAATTTTAATTTTTCTACATAGTTATTATATAAACAAAAAACAGTGTGTCTGCAGTGTGGTGAAGTGTATTTCAAAAAACTTTTATCGAATTTAACCCTCCTGTTCAAATGAGTTATATAAAATTATTATAGGGTGTAGGCACCATTTTGGGTGTATAATGTAGTTATCTACAAGCTAAATAGACTAATGTAGATATAATAAAAATATAGACAATATTAATACTTAGAAAATTTTAATATAGTAAATTATATTTTGAAAATCGTTCATGATTAAAAATAATATATAATGTATAGTGCATAAGCATATGACACATGCATAAATAGCATATTTTATAATACTAGCTAGGGTTTAGTTTAGGTATTTGTAATTAATTAAAATATTAATTTTTAGTTTTAATTTTAAATGCTAACATAATATAAGTACGAACACTACCAACCATGCATAATATATACAGACATTAGGTAAAACGCATAAATAACAGTTACTAATTAATTTTAAAAATAATGATTTAATATTTTAAAAACATTATTAAGTATGTTAAAACAATTTAAATTATCAATAACCTTAATAAAAAATAATGAAACATTTTTATTATAGTTTTCTTTAGAATTAAAGAATTATTATCAGAAGAAAGAAAAATTTTGCAGTGAAAAAATATTCTTATTTCATATTAATTTTACCGTGTTTTACCATTAATATTTTTAATATTTGTTAAAGGCACTAAAATCTAAGGTACTCTTAACGGATATAAGTAATCGTTATTTAGACAAGAATACAAAAGAAGAGGTATGAAAATGTGTTTTTATTGAATATAAACTTTTAAATGTAATCAATTGATGTTTAAATTTTTATATTTTTACTCAACAGATACAATTGTTCCTTAATCAAATATGCAGTTGTGCGATTGAATTTACTGCTTGCGATTTCTTCACTTTAAATACTCATCTAATAACATCTGTACGTTAAATTATAATATTGTAAAATAAACTTATAAAATCCAATAAAATAATATATATGCTTTTTAAGTCACTCTTCATTAAAAAAGCAATTTCAGTTAACCTTCAAATTTTTAAGGCCATTAACGTATTAAACTATAAAAATATATAATACGTATAAATAATATTTTACGTAATATTAGGTTTTAGGTAATAACTATAATAATAAAATTAATTTTAGTATAATTTATTTAATACACAGGTTTATTCAAATTTTAAATAGAGAAGTTTTTATATATTATACATTACAATAGATTATAACTATTATTATAACTCTTCCGTAAGTAGATAGATTAGCAAGATAGATTTAATTTACATGCACCGTAATTTTATTTAATCTATGGTATTAGGTATGATGTTTATATATTTGTTAATTTACTTTAAAAGAGTATTAATGGTATTTATTTTAATTTTATTGTTCACAGGCAATTGCTGCTGCTACGACATATCTCGTAATATTATTACAATTCAATTAGGTAAACAATTTTTAAATTAAATTTAAATTGTCAAATATTAACAAAATAATAATTTTAAAATATGCATTATAAGTTCTATGACTCGAAGATTCTTCGCTGGAAAGCTGAAATACATTTTTTCTCTCATAACATGCACTTATTGTTTTACTTCTTTGAACAGTTTATGTAATTAAAAATACTCAAATTTAAATTTAAAAAAATAATATCTATAAAACCTAAGAATATTTATAATATTAATTATTTAATAAATTAATACATATCATTGATGTATATTTGTACATTGCAAAACTTTAATAGAAATATTACAACATTTATGTCTTCATTATATTATATTTTATATCATTTATAATACAACACATATACAATTAAATATGATTTAAGTTTCAAATTATTTTAAGCATGTTAAGTACTCCTTCGATCGACGATCGGTAAACAGTAATAAGTACTTAGAAAACATAATATAATGAAAATAAAGACATGACGATACCTAACAAAAATTAGTAATTAAAAATAGACAGCTGTCCATTAATTTATTTACAGTCCACTGTTGTGGTAATAGCGGAATCGTCTACAGAAAAGGTTATACGTTTCTATCAAAAATACTGTTTTTTCCTCTGAAGAGATAATGTTAAATTTTTTTCACAATAAACTGTACCACAACATTGAATTAGTGATTTCTATATTAGTTGTGTTGTCGTGTGCTTACAATTACATAGAATCTCCAAGAATTATGTGTCTAATCAACATTTGTAATAATCCAACGTTTACGACAATGGTGTCCATGTTTCCACGAGCTGTAGCTATCGCATGTCTAATATCCAGAATTACGGTTATGTACAAAAACATAAGTGCGATTACTAATTATAAGAAGAAAATCAAGCAATATGAAGTTTACTATCCGATGTCAATTGACAAAGAAAATTTTCGACGGTTTTTTATAATTGTCGTCGTATTTTTGTATTCTATACTGATATTACCGTTTAATTCATATAGATTGTATTTGATAAATATTTATTTTAAAAACAAAATAATACTTATATTTATTTTACTAATGTACATACAAAATGTGAGCATGTCTATAACAGAAATACAATTTATAATGCATTGTTTCGGATTGTATGTGAAATTTCAATCAATCAATGAAGATATGTCCACGATGAAGTCGAAAACAATTTTATTGAACAGATACCCGTTTGTATTAAAATCTGAAGAACGCAAAAGCATTGAATTGTTTCCATCAGCTCGTAATATTGAACTACTTAAGATGAGACATCAATTTGTCTGCGAGTCAGTTAGTGATCTAAATGAAATGTACAGCATTCAACTAGGAATGTCTGTATCTGTTTTGTTTATAATGTTATTATTTGATGTTTATGAAATCGTAACGACTGAGTTAATCGAAACGAAAACGTCTTTACTATTTTATGGATGGCTTGCACAGTATATATTCAGATTTTTTATAGTTATATTGACTTCACATATAACCACGAAAGAGGTAATTGTTGATTTAACAATATATATTAAATTATAATATTGACATGAGATATACAAATACATTTTAAAAGAATAGCAAACGATTGAATAACATATCATTAAATACAAATAATCTTCTTATTATACAATATGTAATAGGTACTTACAACACCTACCTAATAAAAGTATTAAGTACGTTATATCATTTTGCTAACATCTTCATAAAATAATTAATTTAACATAGTGCATACATTTTTTTCTGGTATAATTAGGGAAATACAGCTTAGGCTATCTATGTTTGTAAAATAAGTACTCAATACCTATATTTGAATAATTTTGCTTAATTTTAGGGTCACAGAACAAAAATACTTATTACTGATATAGACAATCGTAATTTTGATAGTAGAACAAAAGAAGAGGTAAAATTGTTTTGTAATAAATAGAATTTTTTGTTTTTAAAAGTTTTATTTTATTTATTTTTTAGTTACGACTATTTTTGATTCAAGTATGTAATCATTCAATGGAGTTTACAACCTTTGATTTCTTGACACTAAATACACACCTTATTACTTCTGTAAGTTTACTAATGTTAAACTTTTTTATTCAAAATATCAGCTTAATGTATTTTCTTATTTAAAAAAAAAAAAGACATTATTTACATAATATAATATAATAACTATTTCTTTTTATATAGTAAAGAATAATCTTTTATTAAAAAAATTAGTTATTATAGTGATAATCTCTTCATTTTAATAAATTTATATTTTATTTAAAGTAATGTCATATAATTATTATAAATTATTTATACGTTAAATTAATATGCTTAATAATTGTATATAACAATGTCATATAATATAATGTTAGCCGACGAATATAATATAAACTTACATCAATAATTTAAAGTATCTAACTTAATTCAAATTATTAATAAATATAATTTTTTTTTCAGGCTATAGTCACTGGTACAACTTATATTGTTTTATTATTACAGTTCCGTTAAATAAAGAAAAATGAAAACGATACAGCACTTACAATAATATTTAAGATTATCTAAAAGCATAACATATTACATTTTTATAATATTTTATAGCAGTATAAAAAAAACTTTTCAATAAAATAAATGAATATATGCTATTAAATATTTAGAACCACTCCATAAAAATTTAACCTTTAAGGTAATAAATATTAATAATGTGTATGTATGAATGATGATATACTACTTTTTAAAATAATTATATGTAAACAAATGTCTTATCACTTTTCTATATGATTGGTTCAGCAATTATATTTTATAAAATACATAATTTATTGATCTATACAATACTGTTTTTTATAGTTTAGTTAGTCAGTTATATTGTGGTACTTATAATGTTTAAGTTTGGTTTCAATTAATTGAAATTCAGACTAAAATTAATATACTTTTCTAGCAATGATATATTTAATGAATTATTTAAATGCACTTGGTACCATTTATTTATATAGCATCAATTTGTACGAGGTATCGTAGTTAAAATCAACGTCCTGTATGTTATATAATTAGAATCGTCTATATGACTGTTATTTATGATGAAATTATTCGATATTTATAGTAAATTATCTATTGAATCTAACGTAACAAAATGCACAACCTACTTTACGGATGGCTTCTACAATATTTGTACAAATTTTGTGTAATTGTATTGACATCGTATATTAATACGAACAAGTACACATTTTATACCTTATAATGAAAGGCATCTTTTGGTGTTGTTTTTTATTAGACATTATAATTGTGTTAAACAATAAATTCTCCAATTCCTTAAAATATAGTATTATAAACCTTTTGTTAGCATAATGTATTATCCATACCAATTTTTGAGTACGAGTAATATTGAATGTATTTAAAAATATATTATAGTTGCAAATTTGAAATTTAAAAACTATAATTCTCTGTCTAAGAATTAAAGGGCAATAAGGGTTCTTTTACGTAAGCTTGAATTTTTTTCTAAATATAGCAATTTTTAATCATAATAATTCTAATAAAATATAAGTGAAATTCTAGTACTGGATCATCATTGAATAATTAAATTAAATTGGATATGGGTTAGAGTTTTTTTGCCATTTCATTATTTAAATTTGGACTTGCATGCGTATGTATTTAAGATCGTATAAAATTATTTATTAAATAATTGATATAATTGTACCATGATAACAAGCACATATAAGTCATAATTTCTTAAGGAAAATTAAGTGTTGAATATTTTGGGCTTTATAAACAAATAGAGTACCTATAAAAATTATTTATTTATGAGTAAAAAATCTTAAAAACATTGATTTTTATTTCTTAAAATACATATTTGTGATCTATAAGTAATAATTTTAGGTAGTACAAATTAAGTTAGTCACATTTTCTCGATTCGCCTTTTTTCCTGGTAAAGCAAACCTCCTTTAAATTTGTTCAGAATTTTTAACGATAAAATTTTATAATAATTTATTTATTATACATTTAATGAAATTGTACTTGTTATCTGATTGTATTTTTACACATTATAGGTACACAGACCAAAAATAATAATAACTGATATAAATAAAATAACTGTTATATAAATAATAGTAAAAACCAAGAGGTTTAGTTTAATTCATAATAATAGGTAGGGATTCTTTTATACTTATTAATGTCTTAATTACTTATATAATTAAGTACATGAATAATATAAATTAAAATATATAACTAAATTAAATTATTAAGTTTAAATGAAATTGTGTTTGTAAATATAATAATTTTTCATTACCACAAAAATAGAAACCCAATACGTTTCATGAAAATATATTTTTAACCTGTTTAAATATTTGATAAATATTTACTATAAAGAAATAATTATAAACTAATAAAAAAATAAGAAAAAACAATTTTAATTTTACCTGTAGTTTTATTTTTAGGCTTTTGTTGCTGGTACAACTTTTCTAATTTTATTATTACAATTAAATTGAACAAATAAAAGACACATGGTACGGTATCATAACTATATGTTATAAAAATATTTATTTAATAAATAGATTTAAGTTTATCTAACTAAGATACTTATAATTAGATACCTAAATTAAATTTTACCAAAAAATATTCAATAAAAATATATAAAATTATATACAAATTAATTAATAGTATCAATTAAGTTATCATAGTATTTTATCTTGTCTGTTACTAGTAATTTATTTGTAAGAGATAAATGTTTATATTATTCTTTAAATCAGAAAATCAATACATATGTGTAATTTAATCTTATCTGATTTGTATAATTTATATTATTATATAACAATGTAAATGTATTAAACCATGTGTGGAGAGTACACTTGTAAAAATCTATCTAGAATTTCTGAATCAAAATGATTGTAGGCATTTTTAATTTTTCGACGTATTTGTCTATTATTATTAGGCGTATTTTGAGATCTAATGAATGATAATTTTCTACTTTCATTTTGAAATTTATGTCCATCGTCGTCTTTTTCAATTTTTTTAATAGTATCAGTACCGTTATGACTGTATGAACACTGACCATTATTGATTATTTGAATTATATGTATAGGTATAGATTTTTCACCCTCTTGAATCATTTGTAGAATCTTCGACAGATTTGAATTAATTAGATCTTTTCTTTCACAATCCGTTGAAGAATGCGTTGAACTCAATTTTGAGTCTATTTCAGATACAGGCTTTATAACTGAAAGACGTTCTACTCCGGGCTCATTCAATAATTTAAAATCACCAGTTAATAACTTTGAAAGGGATATAGCTGAGTGCTTACCATCGGGTTTTTCAATTGGTATAAAAATTTCAGACATATACTCGGAACCATTATTATCAATACTTGTTTGACTTACTAAAGGTATCTTAAACACACCATCGGCTATTTTCACTTGCGAAAGTACTCCAAATCTATGCGGGTTTAAAGATTCGTCATTAGGATTACTTACATCAAATTTATCATTGTCTAACATAACGGTATTAATGGGAAAAATTTTTGATTTATTCAAATCTGACTGATTTTTGTGGTTTTTAACATTAACTTCAAATTTATTTTTTATCTGGGAATCATAGTTTTCGTTATATTCTATTTGATTGATTGGCATTGGTTGCAATAATTTTACGTCTAATTTATGGTGCCTTTGGTTTCCATTTGAAAGTTGTCTGCTATTTGGGGATTGAATGATAAATTGAGAATTTTTATTTGATATGTTAGCTTTTTTCATTGGTTCATCAAATAAAATTGGCTCTAGATCTTCGTTTGTGTATGGTGCATGTTCATTATCATATAGGTCTTCCACTTGAGATTGTTCTGGAGAATAAAATTTCAATGAACCATTCAATTTAGCATCATCAAATTTTAGTTTTAAATTTTCTTTTGAATCAGTTTTTTTAATAAAAACCTGCTCTATAGGAGATTGGTAGTTAAGAATATTTTTATTTTTTAAAGTTAAAGTAAGTGGTCTGTCAAAAAGATTGTATTTGATTTTATCTGTTTTGTCTAAAACTAATGGTTCTGAATTTGGTTTTTTTTTAAAGTTATTTAACGATTTATTTAATTTTAATACTGGAACATTTTCGTTATTTTTCATCTGATTTATTGTGTCTGAAGAAATAAATGTTTTTTGATTTTTGATTGATGGAACTGGTTTGGATATTTTTGATTTTAAAATATGTTCACTTATGATAGTACTTGTATTACTACTTTTAGCATACAAAGGAGTTTTTGTTGAATAAACATTTGTAATTTTATTTTCTGGCGTCATTTGAATTTTAGTACTTTTAATATTTTTGATTAAGCTCGATGGTCTTTGTAATTTTACAAGGTCTAAATTATTAGTATTTAAAATATCTTTTCGAGAAATTATGTCTTTATTGTTATTTACTTTAAATTTTTTAAAAATACGATTATTTGGATTAAATGTAGTATACTTATCTGATTCTATAGTAAATTGTCTTGGAATATTTTTCGTTACATTAATGTCATAACTTTTTATTAGTTTTTCTAGATTTATTGGTGTAGATTGAGGTAAATGCTTGTCGATAACTTTTAATGGCACCTGTGACAAAATTCTAGGAGCAGCAAATATTTTTTTAGCTGAAGTCATATAATTAGTATTATTGTAATTACCAAAATTACTTTCGGTATGTATTTTTGAATTTATTGGAATTTTCATTTTTTCAATAAATTTTCTCGGAGACCTTTTTGTAATATTTTCTACTTGTTTATTTGATATAATTTGAAGTGGAGATCCACTAATAATCTTATCTACTATTTGAGTAGAACTCTTATTAAAAATGTTATTATTTTCTTTAATTTTATTCATATTATTGTTTTCTCTGTAATTATTTCTTACAGAAGTATCATCATTTTGTGGAAAATGTTTTAATTTTACATTAAATTGCCTTGTATTCTTTTGTGGTAAAGTTTTGGGGATTAAAGACATTCTTTTGCTATTAATTTTTTCCAAATTTTTATTATTTTCTTCGTTATTTCTTTGTGTTTGACCATTTAGTTTTAATTCCGGAATCATAGATTTGAATGAAGAATTTTTTGAATCAATTTCTACATTTTTATTTATTCTTTTATTGTTTGTACCTTTAGACTGATTATCATCAATATTTAATATTGATCCATATGACGAGTTTAAATTTGATTCTTTAAGATTATTTTTTCTTGTATTTTCATGTATAACTAGTTTTTTCCCCAAAAAATCAGGATTCAAATCCTTTTTATTTTTTATTAAATATTCTCTATCTGTAATATTTTTAGCCTTATTTATTTTACTATTTTTTCTTAATAATTGATTCGAACGTTTATGACTATTCATTTTTAAACTGTTCGGTGATGTATACAGATCAGTTTTTATTTCAGTGATATTTGTTACCATTGAAGAACTTAAAATATTCTTGATTATTTTTTTATTGCAGGAACAATTCAAATTATCGTCTAAGGAATTATTTTCTTTTTCATTTAAATTTGAATTTTCTACAGTTGTTTCTTCATCTGAAAAAATTGTTTTTGGATTATTATCATTATACTCTACGACTCTATCTGGGTTTTTTGATTTTGATGCTTCATTTAAATCTGATATTATTTTTTCATTTGATTCAAATATTGCCACCGTTGTTGGAAAATTACTAAGAGTTGGTTCATATTGACTTTTATTATTCTCTTCGTGACTCGAAACATTTTTTTCCTTATTAAATTGGTCTGTATACGGTTTAGTTGTAAATTTTAGCTTATAATTATCACCAGTTATACTAGAATCTGATTTATATTTAGATGTAGATGATACAACAATAGGCATAATGGTCTCTCTAGAGAATAATAGGTGTTTATTTTCCTCTGTAAGTGGAGATGTTGAAATGTATTTATTTTTTTCAGTAACTACTGATAAATCGTTAAACTTATTAGAAATATTGTCATTAGTTTCAACAACTTGATTTTTCAAATCTTTAAAATTTAATTGTTCCATGTTATTATCCGAAATTGATTCATTTTTATCATTTAACTCATTCTTACGATCATTTACTATAGGTTTACAATCATTCATTTTATTTTCTATTATTTTTTTTCTTACCCAATTTCCATTTACAAAAGTATTTTCGGGACTAGATTCGAGTTTATTTACAATATGATTTCCTTTTATTTTTTCAAATTTAATTATCGTTTCTTCTCCAGAAGAACTATTTGTATTTTGATTTTCAATTATAGATGGCTCAATACTTGTTTGTATTGGTAGATTTTTAAATAAATTAGATTTTAAATTTTTTGATTTATTTATTTTATCAATTACTTGATTCAAAACTTTAATAAAGTAATCATCGTCCATTTTTTCTAATTGTAAATTACTATTATAATTATTTTTGGATTCTTCTAAATTTATACTTGGTTTTAAAAGTACACAATCCGTACATTTAATTGTTGGTTCTATTCCATTTTCGATATTTGTTAAAAGAAGTTTCTGAGGTTGCTGGTGGTTTATAGAACCTTCATTTTGAGTAATTTTCTTAGTACATCTTTTTCTTTCTTGAGATTCGTTAAAATTTCTTGTTATTTGTTTAGAATTTTGTTCTATTTCCCTATGTAAATTTAAATCATCAATTAGACCATTAATTTTTTTCCTTCGATTGTCATTATATTTTCCATCGTCATAATAATCATACATATCATCATAGTTATCAGGTTTTAAATCTAATATTACTTTTATATATCGCTTAGATTCCGTATCTTCGTTATTACTTATATTAGAAACTTGTTGCACATGTCTTGGAAAACGATTTATTTGAGAAGAAGTTACTACAGACGTAACAGGTAAAATACTATTGATCCATGTGGAGTCAAGTGTATTTAAATTCTTTGTTCTGTTAAAATTGATAAATTTTCTGAAAAATAATTATATTATTAAAAATATATGTAATATTATATGTTAATAGCTATATGGTATATATAAATTTTTATTTTATTTTTAATAAATTATAGACATTTGAAGTTTAAAATTTGACGAAATTAAATACCAATTTAAACAAAGTTCGTTTTTTCAATGATTTTAGTATTTTGTTATATATTGTCATTAAAAAAAAAAATTAATTGTAAGAACTTGAAATGTTCGGATATTGTTTAAATTATTTTCTATTCGTAATAATATTTTAAAAATAATTTATCTAATCTTAAAATATTTATATCACAGAAAATATTTATGCTGTTCCAAATGGTACGCGGTATTAATTAATAAGTACTGTGATAAACGAATTTCTTATAGTGATATAAGTAAACTATAAAATAAAATTAGAAACAGCTGTGGTAAAAGTATTATCTCCATTTAGAACTATTTTGTGTAGGTACAGGCAATTATTTATTATTAAATTTTAATTTAACGTATACATATATTACAGTGACCTATACTCAATTGCGAGGTCGATATAGCCGTAAAGATACTCGAAAATTATATTACTGTAGAATGAATTTCCTGATTTTTTAACAATTAAATATATAAAAAATAAATAAATAAAATAAAAAAATACATTTACTTATTCAAAAACATTGTTTTCATTTTTATTGTTGAATGATCGTTTTCCATTTTTATTGGATTACTTTGAAATACATTATTCAATACTGTTGTTGAATTTTCAGCCAAGATCAAGATATAATATAATAAATATAGTACTGAAAATTGCTGATTCATTGTTTCACCTATAAAAAATATAAAGAACAGTTTTTTTACTCAAGTAAATTTGTAATTATTTATAGACATCGTCTATTAAAAGATATTATTTTATACAAGTATTTGTTTTTGCAGATATACAATACTACTATATTACTTAATGATTCATAAGCACATTGTAAATAGATATAACCATTTATAATAATATCACACTTAATAATTAATATACCTAATATTTATATACATAATTTTATCTGAAAGTTTGCTATTTTTTATTTGCATTTGTATGTTCAAAGTTTTAACATTGTATAATTTTATAATGAAAAAAAAAAATATAAATATCTTATAATTTTATAATTTTTTTATATTATAGTAATATATTTTTCATAAAATTGTAATTAACTTAAAATTAATAATAAAATCCACTTTAATTTTTATGAAATTATAAGCTATAATTTATAGCTTTCTTTACTAGAAAGATTCAAATCATTTTTTTCATTCCATATTTTTAAATGGGTACATTTATTTATGATTTATACCACTAAATTAATCAAGTAACATATTGTACATCGTATAATGTCACGATAAAATAGATAATTTTCAGCATTTTTAATGGTGACATAAGATTGTACTACTACCTACTCATGTATTAGCCAATAGGTAGCAAATAGGTTCTATAATAAAATCAAACAATAAAAATAGGCGCACCACTTTAATTTCAATTAATATTTTAATCCTAAAAATCTTCTCACATACATTGTTTAAGTAAGGCATATTGAAATAAGTAACACATTTTACATAAAAGTTTGATTTTAAATAGATGAATAACATTTTGTATTAAATGTACGGAGACTATGTAAAATAAGAGTAAATAAAATTATTGATTTAACATATTTAATAATTAATTTTGGGACACTATTCAATTGACAAAATAAAAACTTACTATTTATTATTTCATCTGTCATCATTTATCAATAATATAAATAGTTTCGTTTTACATAATTTAATTTGATTTTAAAGAAGAAACACAGATTGAGCATGCAGGCTGTAACCTAATGAACGATGTCTAGGCTCTAGAATTTAGTAATAAAAACGAATAATTTTGAAACAAATGGAAAAATGGTAACAGATACATCATGAATAATAATTATACAAAAATAACTTTGTGTTTTTATTTTTAGTTTATAGTACATTTTTAAAGCGTCAAATTTCTATCAACATACATTTATTTTAATGTCACCCTAATAATATTTAATAAAGGAATTTTTTCAATATTAAATATACATTTTATTGTATTATTACTACTATTTATATTTCAGGTGTATCATAACTATTCCATAACAATAATAAAACCATTGTTGTATAATTTATAGCTACATTCTTGAGTCATTAAACTTGTTCGTGACAAATATAAATGTTGTGTAGGTAAAATAACTGAATTACAAAACAATGAACTAAGGAAGTCCTTTTAGATTATAAACAATAACACTAGCTAAACAAGCATTTCACTCTGCACCATAATTGATAACAGTTACCTATTTCTATTACTGTTAAAGTTGAGAAAAAATTAAGTTGAAACATACAGGTAATACTTTCAGGTACATTAAATCGTGGTAACTGTCATTGTCTTATTGACATTAATATTATAAACATATCTGATATCAATTTGAAATATTTGTAATTAATTTACCTACTTTATTAAAATGAATCTATTTTCGTTTAATTCTGTATTGAAATTTCAAAGTAAATTTTATTACAAAAGTTGTAAAAAATGTCCAAAAAGAAAAAAATAAAAACATTTTGATAATATTTAAGATAAATACTAGAAAAGCAAATAAAAACTATTGTTTCGTTGTAATTACTAAGTCAATGTTGTTATATACAATTATAATTATTGCAGTATGTACTTATGTGCTATGTAGATACCTAAAAATGCAGTAATTTATTTCTAATAATTTAAAATTTAAACAATACTTAATATGTGCTAATAATAGGTAACTTCTATTCTTAATATAAAGTTTAATTTCTAAGACATGGAGGTAAAAAAAAAACTATAATTTTAAATTTATAAATCTTCACAATTTCACATAATATATACATAATAATATGTAAAAAGTAACTACATACATTACAGGAAAAATTACAAATCGCATAAAATTCAGAAATTTACAGGAAAACTATATGTATTGTCTATACTCTATATAGTTTATAGTATAGGTACCTACTTGAGAAAAAAATTTCTCGACTTTCGACTAGACAAATCTAGTAACCAACATCGATTAGATAAAATCATAATGTATATAAATTTGAAGACTTTAAAGTATGAAGTACGTGTATATTTTTTTATTAATTGTGGAAACTGTCTATAAAAGTGATCGGCAATAGGCGGCCCACAGGCCAAATCCGAACTGTGAAAGAAAAATAATTGGACCACAAAAAATATTTTTTTTAATAATGCTGGTTTTCCACATATAATATATATTTTATCTATTTTATAATATATTTAGAAGTTACGATGGTGTTTATCGTTTATTGCTATTTACAATAATAGTTACGATAACACAACAATTATTAACTATCTGAGTTTTTAGTTTTTATTGATCCTCGAAATTTTTTTTTTTGATTTTCTGGACCTCCATAGAATTTAATTGCCGACCCCTGGTCTATAATATCACTATATAAATACATTTTGCGATGTTTTATTTTTTTATTTTTAATACCTATAGCTATATATTAAATATATACCTATAAAAAAAAATAGCTATACCTATATTTAAATTATAGTAATTTATTTTAATTTTTAGCATTAAGGTAGGTTGATATTATTTTTTGGGATAATAAAGTATTTCATTACTATAATAATATACATTTATACCATATTATATATATATTTAGTTACCCAAATTTTAATTTTATTAATTATACAGGTGAATATCCAATGTTATAGAAATTTTCAAAAAACTTCAGATGTTCATAAAAAATTAATTTGGCTTTCTTTTAATAAATTAGAAAACTTATAAAGAACCTTGTTTTCAATTTTAAAATCTCAGATATAAATAGAATTCTTTTCATATAACTATCTCTATCTTCAAAATAACTTGTATTTTTTAAGATTTTTTCAAATATTATCAAAATTCTAAATTTAAATTCTTATAAAAAAAAATTGTGACCATAATTTTTTGATATTTTTAAGTGATTAATAAGCCTCCAATTAAAAAATTTAAATTGTCTATAAAAGCTCAAAAATTATCGAAATATTTTTAAAATCTTATCGAAAACAAAAAACAATAATATAAACATTTAATAAAAAATTTAAGTATCTACGATTATTCATTTTTGATTAATACTAAAAAAAAAAAAAATCTATTTTGTCAGAAACTAGGTTTGCATAAATATATATTTTTTTAAATTTTTTTGTTTGTTTTTATCGATTATAAAACAAATTACAGAATATTTTAAATTTTGATCTATTTTAACTAGATCCAATTTCCTTTGTAAAACCATTCTCAAAATTTAAAATCAAAACATTATACCGACAAATTTTCGTGTGGCATTAAAAAAAAACTCTTATAAAATGAATACATTCATCTCTTCGCTCAAAGTTTAAAAAATAAAAGTTTGTACAAGTTTAAGTATTTTAAAATAAAGTTTTTACTTTTTATACTTTATAGTTTGTTTAAATATTTCAAATAATATTAATTATTAAAGATTCATAATGTTAAAAGCTTCAAACAACGTTTTCCAATTTGTTGCATAGATTGAACATAAAATTAAAATTTTACGATACCTATAGTATTATTAAGTAATAATATTCATTGATAAAATGCGTATAGTGCCTTTTATATGATTATACATACTAATAAATTAAAATTTTAGTATTTTTTACCTTACTGTACATTAATGTGTAATATGGATACTTTCCAAGTTTAAGAAGTAATATGCCTTGTATGTCTTATAACCATAAAAAAATAAAGTATTGTTAAATATTTTACAGCGTTTAAAAAATTGTATATTAATATAATCTTACCGCGGTTTACGGATAAACGGAACAATACACTCCACAGTTATGACACGGTATGAGATAGTTTCAGTGAATACCATTGACTACAAATCATTGAAATGTCGTAACTTGAACATAATAACAATTTGGTGCTGAGAGCCGCGAAAAGATACGCGACGTAACCGCGTCTAGTGAAATTATATTGCAAACATAACAATATACTAGACGTCTCTGCCCACATCTTGTACAATTTTTCTGGTGTTCTCATTGTTTTCCAAACATTAAATATTCGTATTTGTTACTAGTTAGCAGTTATGATCAGAAAAAAAATTATATTCCACGTACGGATCGAAACGATGTATATATAGTATCATAGTATATTAAGTATAATATATGTATATGTGTAAATCCAAGAACTTGCGTAAAAATGTACGCGTTTGGTGTTTTTTTTTTTTTAATAGATTATTGGTTTTATGACATTTCTTGAAAATTATTATTGATACTATAGTCTATAGGTATAATTTATCAATTCAGTATTTCTTTAAAATTCTATAATCAAAATAATATTCATTATCATTTATTATTATTTATTACTAATAAATTATTAACTATTATCAGGGCTAGGATTTATATGTAATATAAAAGTACCTAGTGAAGTAAAATATATATTTCTTCATTTCATTAGAATTTCCTAAAATATGTAATAAAATACATAATAGATTTTCCAATAATTTCCAAACTATCATATACCAAGTGCAACAAAACTACAGAAATATCTTAATTTAAAAATAAATAAAGTTACTTTATCCATGCATTTCTTTTTTAATTTTAAAAAAATCCATAGCATTTTCAATTGGTACATTTTTAATTTGTTTACGTTAAAACAAAAATCTCTAATTTTACGAACTTGAAATTAAAAAATTTGAAACAGAACTCTTAATATTACTTTTGACTAAGTGTAACATAAAACATACATTTTTCATGTTTACATAATTAAAATATGTATTATACTTAAAATATACAAAAATATGCAAAATAGAAAATAGGTTATTCAATATTCATATCAATACTTATATTAGGAGATTGGTGCCTTGTGGACGTAAATTACTAATGACATTTTAAAAAGGATGTTGCAAAAAAAAAAACATACTAATTACCAATACATATAAATTGTATATTAAATAGTAAACAGTATATTATGTTTGTAAAACAATTAATATTTATTTGATAATAATAAAACATTGTAGTAGGGTTTACATAGGTGATAGGTAGGTACCTATCTACCTAAATACCTACCTAAGATTTAACTTATTTTGTTCTGGATAAAAATTTTCATTTGTTTCAAAGTCACCTAGGTATATTAAACATAAACATACAATATATTTATTTTTATTTGACATTTGCATTTTAAAACTTCTCAATATTTTTAACATATTATACAAAATCAAAGACATATTAAGTAAATATTAAATATAATTCTAAATTTTAATTGAACATTAAATTTATTTTATTTATGCTTAAATATTAACAATTTTTCACATTTCAACATAAGTCCGGTATGGTCTAGTGGCTAGGATACCTGGCTTTCACCCAGGAGGCTCGGGTTCGATTCCCGGTACCGGAAAGATTTTTGGTATTTTTCTTTTATAAATTTCTTAAGTAATTCTAATCCCTAATGGGAAATCATACAATTTTCCCCTAATAATTATTATTCAATACAAAATATTTCGAAGTTTGCAAAACTTTCTGCAGACGTGTTATTTATTTTAAAAATATAAATGAAACTCAAAGGATTTTGGAATTATTATAATTAGAATTATGGACTTCATACTCTAAAAATTTTTAAAATATCCATAGTTATATGCCTTTAAAAATTACCATACATGCTTTAAAAATATGCAAAATTGCTAAAATATGATCTTAAAAATATTTTATTTTTCATTAAAAAATCAAAAATTATAAATTTATTTACTATTAAAATAATACATTTTTAATTTAATTTTCACAAAAGAATTAAAATATTATACTAACTATTTAAACGTCAAATTAAAACACAACCATACCAATATACAAACTGAAATCAACTAAGGATTGTTGTATTCGGCGCATTCCTTATCGACCGACTTTATGTTTTTCATAACACACAAATAATTAGGAAAATACGCGGCAGGTGGATTATTAATTTTAATCATTTAAATCTATTTTTCTAGAAAATTAATATTAAATATTATATAGTACGTATAAAATATCATTCTCCATATTGTCATACGATATTAAAATTTTTTTTTTTTTAACAAATTAGTATGTACTTCTTTTCTTTATTGAGATTTTAACTATTAAATACATATATGTACTTAAAAGAAAAAGAGCTGAATATGTAAATTGCAAAATAAAAATTATTGCTTTAAACTACTAGTACTATGAAACAAATTTCTATATTACTTAGCTATGTTTTGAAAAGCATTTCCTTCAAGTCTCTAATCCTAATTTAAATATTTGATATTTTTATAGGACCTATTGGCTATTAAAGGAAACCATAAATAAATTATTTTAACGGTGAATTGCCAGTAGACACAAAAATGTAAATAGCATGTCCATACCCTATAGTGATATTATATTTAAAAATTAAGGTTATTTTTGTGGTACTTTCAATGAAAATAAGTGTACTTTTTATGATGGTGTTACTCTTATAATATATTTTATAAACATACTTGATCGACAACTCTTTAATATTACAGTGTAATAAAATACCACAACTCTACAGTTTGCTAATAATAAATAAAATACATTTTATGACATATGGACAACAAATTAAGTGCAGTGGCTAAAGTGTAAAACGTTTAGTGAAGTTATCATATCATAATACATTACGTATATTGATGTTTTATGTGATTAAATGACAAGCAGTAGTTTGTCAAGTATTCGGGTTGTTAGAATTTCTATAGACAGTTTTTACTCAATTGAAACACAAAACACTACATAATCATATATTGGGCCACTACTTAACAATACAACAACCTAATCAGTAATTACCACTATGTACAAACATTCACCAGGCGTAAATTTGGTCTGCACCACCTCAATTCATATTTTAGTATCAATAAAATAACTTACATAATTATTCACTAGGCATTACATACTTACCTACGTAGTACATTCACAGATATCTAGATACTATCATTGCTGTTGTTATTTAAACAATATACGATTTAATTATTTAAACCATCAACTTTAAATTTCATTTTTCCTTTGATTTTTTTTTTCTTAATTTCAAATAGTTTTAATAATATATATTGATTTTTGTTTGTCTAATTATATTTACATAATACTTATTGTGCGCACAAATATCACAGCTATTTAATTTAGTAAAGAATATATTATTGTCTAATTACCATTTTGAATACTTAATTAATGATTTCAAAATCGTATACCTACCTATTATAATGTAATATATATTAACAATACCTATAAACATATAATATATTTTATTATTTTAATATTAATAATATATACAACTAAGCATGCATTTATAAATTATAATACGAATCTTAAGGTTCTATTTAAAAATAAAATAAGTAAATTACAGCTTTTGTAAACAATATAGGTATAACTTAAATTATGAAATTAATTAATTCTTAATTTAATGTTATTTAATATAACGTTGTCTTGGTATACCTACATTATCCACTTACCTAAAATTTAGTTAAAATATTACAACTAATATTTTAATACGTATAGTATAATATTAAGTAATTATACAAATTATTTACAATCATGTATTAATAATAAAGGTATTAGGTATGATAACAAATAAATAAATACGACTTACGAGTATGAAAACAATATCATGTTATTTGTATGTCTACTCGATAGCTAAATAAATAAATATATAAGAATTTAAATAATTATTAAACAATACATATTTATACAAATTCAATAAAAAAAATTAAACAAATTAAATTAAATTATATTTTTAAATTAAGTATAGTAGTTATACTAAAAATGTGTAACATTATATTTAAATTGTATTATTGTTTTAACATATTGGTTTAAAATTGGAATGTTTTCTTTAAATACTTCCAAAATGTCTGCATATGGCTAATCAATTTATTGACCATATTAATAGTCATCTTATTATAATCATCATCATCTATATCCTCAAAAATAGATTTACGTTTTAATTTAATGTTTATATTGTCAAGACCGCTGTCTTCTGATAAAATATTCATTTCGTTTTTATTTTTCCAGTCCATAGAGCTGTCTTCTGTGACTTCGTTGTTTTTTGGATCTATAGTATGCTTGATTTTGTCTACATATGTATTCACTTCATTCAGTTTAACTGTAAAGTCAGCTACCGACCGGGGATACCTAATAATTTTATGTTCCAAGGCTGGTTCAGTGTCATCTTCAATCATGCTGTTTTTCGGAGACCGCTTGACTTTGTGAATTTTTTGTTGAAGTTTTTGTTCTATTTCTATTCTACGATTTTTTAATTTTTCTTCTAACGCTTTAATTTTAACAGCTGCCGATAAACTAGTTTTACTTTCAAGTTTATTTTCCTCATTCTTTTTTACTGGACTAACAATATGTTCGGATTGTAATATTTTTTTCCCATCCCTAAGATTCTCAACTAATCTTTCCGTGATTTTTTCATTGGTTACAATTTGATCCATATCGACATTTGGTGGAGTTTTTACTTTCCCTAAAGGATGTAAAACTGATTTGATTTTAAATTTTGGTGATGGTTGTTGTGTTGTTTCACGACTTTCTCTTATTATTGATTTACCATTTTTTATTTCTGCTATATCTATAACTCTAGGTTTGGCAAAGTTCAAAGTTTTTGGTACAGATGTGAAAGTCCTCAATTTTATAGTGTTTTTGATGGGCATTTCTGTAGTATTAGGTTCAAAATGAGTTATTTCGGTTATTGGAGAACTTATTGGAGTAGTTTTGGCATTTTCCAAATCTAAATGGTTGATATATTTTTTCGATTTCAAACTGATTCGAGGTCTTCCTATTTTAATATTTCCATCCGTAGTTGTACTATTCGTTTGGCGGTTATATCTTATTTTTTCAATCAAGTTAGTTATGTTCTCTTTACTTGGCAGTTGTTCTGTATTGGTGGTTATTGGTTGTGTACTTGTAATCATTGACAATTTTTCAGTAATTAATTTTGTACTTTTCGTTATCGGCTTTTCAATTAATAAGTCTTGTACAGTAAGATTTTTAACTTCCTCCTTAAATTTATCGTGCTGTCTTCTCCCTTTAATTTTTTGAGCATTTTTTTCGTTTGCTTTGGCTAAAGCTTGTTCTGCCCTGGTTTTAATTTTTTGAACATAACTATCGTGATTTGCATGATGTTTATTTACAGCTGCAGTTGACATTGGAGGAGTTGATGTAATCGTGGTTTGTTGTACTGTTTGTGAAGTAAATTCCGATTTTTTTACTTCGGGAAGTTCAGTGTTTATTATTGTATATTCTTTTTTATAACGATCATGTGTTTTCATACGATCCTCATTAGATTTAATAGATATTTCAGAAGAAGAATGGTCAGTTTTTAAAAATGGATCCACTGGCAATATTTCTTTGTTTGTAAATTCTTTAATAATGGCATCTAGTTCTTTTGAACTAAAATCTGTGTTATCCGCTGATCTTTTTACTAATTTTAACTTTTGAGAAGGTTTAAGAGATAATAAAGCAGAATCTAAATTAGAGTATAAATCTGATCGGATGTTTTTATCTGGATATCTTTTACCGGCAACTGCTTGTGCGAGAATGTGATATTTTTCTCTTCTGCTTTGAGGAGGAGGTGGTGGACTTCTTTCTGTTTGTATTTCTACTGTGGTAGTTTCGGTTGAAGAAAATGTCGGAGACTCCACAGAATATTCTCGATTATTTAATGTTTTTGGGAATTTAGAAAGCCAATTATTATTAGAAAATGTGACATATTTTACCAGTGGTTCAGATTGTTGCAAGTTTTCAATATTAGGAGAGCCTTCATTGTTTTGTTGAGACATTTCTCGTCTTTCAACCATAAATTCATCATTGGTTTTAATATATTTAGGACGGAATGCAACATACATTTGTTTTTCATTTGATACCGATTCATCTTCTTGATCTAATACTGGTGTATTGTAGTCGGTTTCGTCAATTTCTTCTTGATCTAAAACCTTGACTCCATTTTTATAAGAATCTTTCAATTCTTCGATCTGAACCACTGTACATGCCTTTGATTTACTATCTGGTAATACTAAAAAAAATACGCAATGACTGGGAATAGTTATCAATTGGTTGGATATTCGAACTTTTGGTGATATAATCGGAAGATCACCGTCAGGTGATAAAATCAATTTTTGTCCATTAAGCATAGTAGACCTAAATAAAAAATATAAATACTATTATATGATTACAAGATATATTCAATAATTTTATATTCCACTTACGAAGACTTTAATGCTCTTTTGGTTTGTCTATTGTTAGCAGTCAAGAAATATTGATGTAATGGTAAACTTTGTATTTGTCCTGTTTTCAATGATATTTTTACTGTTTCTAATCCCATATTTACACCAAAAACTACAACTGCTCCCCTATTATATCGGTATTCAGGGGCTAATATTCCTTCATTGGGGTCGTATGGTGACATTTTCGTACAATGGGTAACTGTTTCTAAACGTGTTTTGTTTCCAGACGAAATCTTGATGTCTAAAACTTCTGGTCCAACCAAAGCTTTGTGAAGAACTGATACCCAATAATCCTACACAAATAATGATTTAGTTATTCTCGATAAATACTGTTTAAATAAATAATTAAAAATTATAATTATTAAGTTTTAATGTAAATTTATAATTAATTAATTTTTAATCCTTCTTATATATTCATATAAAAAATATAGATAGGTCACTAACTATAAGTTTAAAATGTAATAATTTTAATACTTTTAAATGGAAAAATAATTTTCGTAATTTTATCTTATATTATATTTAATATTAATTATATATCAATCATTAAACTTCTTATGTGTTGAATAATAATCACTTTATTACAGTTAAAATTCACTAAAAATAGTTTAATACGTTTCCGTGGGAACATAATAAATTATATAAACTTTATTCGTTTTTAAATTTTAAAATCTATATATTTTAATTAAAGCACTAAACCTAAAGAATAATAAACTAATTTAAGTAAAATTTAAATTGCTTTTAAAGTTTCTAGAATTATTTTATATAATTATCCGAAAGTCAATTAAATTTTGATTAACCTTAATATTATCGAAACTTAAATATTATAATTTAAAATTAAATGTATTTAATTAAATTGTGTAATTACTGCAGTTGGTTCACTTAGCGATGATAACGATGGTTTCCTCATAATGGTATTTATTCCAACTCGAGCACCTGCGCATAGTCTTTGTGCCCAAACTAATCCATCCATGAAATCTCCTTTTCTATCTTTAGTTCCCGATTCTACAATCCATAATGGTTTCTTCGTGGCTATTTTTCCTAGGTATTTGTTTGTCAAATCTTTTTGCCACACTCGAGCTTCCATTTGATTTTGTATGTAACTAAATATTTCGCCGGGATTCTCAATATTTTTCTCACTTGAAAATGGTCTAAAAAAAATGTATTATTAAACTTAATTATTTTATTTAACCTAGTAAATAACTTTGGTAAAAAACGAAACAAATATTAATTGATACAATTAAGTATTTTTGAGTTTTGTATTATTAAAAAACTTTTAAATTAAGCTTGTAAGTAAATCTAAATAGGATTTAAAATAATAATAAAAAAATGTATAACAATATTGTTCCCCAATAAACTGCAAACTGTCATATTTATTCCCCCCACAATACCTACTCAAAATTTAAAATTTAAAAATCTTTATTTATTTTGTTATGAATATTATAATATATTTATACACACAAAATAATATACCCTGCCCTTAATTCATGGAGATAAAGGTATGATATTGTAGTAGTTATAAGGATAAAACATTTATCATACAATATGATAACTAACAAATTTTATTTATATTAATTGTATATCAATCATTATTTATTCTTTAACATACTTATCAAATAAGATTATCTATATAAATTTATAAACAATAAAATAAAGTATTACATATATAATAAAATAATAAAATATATGATTACAGATTAGATATACTTATTAGTTATTAGTATAAACTATAAGGCCCAGATTTAAACGTAAGGTGCATTTTTATGCAAGAAGAGGATGATCTATTACAATGCTGCTAAATACATAATTTAACAAACCCTTAGTTGAAGGTATTAATGCATTATTATTGTCTAAATTTAAAATGCATTCTTTAATTAACTTTTTTTATGTTTATTATTGACGGGCTCTTAAGTTCTAGCAATAAATTATACATAAACAAATATTTTACTTATTTCATGTATTTATGGTTTTTACACCTAATTTATTTATTTAGAGCTCTAAATTCTATTATTAGGTACATTCTCGTATATTATGATTTCAGATTTGAATCAAATACATTTTGTTGAACTTTGTTTTATTCGCTAGTCAAAAATGTTTTAAATTAGAATTTGATTTGTTGTAAATTTAAATTTAACGAAGTTGGTCGTATATTAAAATGGAATTTTTCCACACTAACTGCTGAATATATATATCTTGTTACTTTTATTAATAAATAGAAATGAATAAATATTTAAAATAAATTAACATTAAAAAAATTAAGATTAAAAATGTTATTATACATGCAATCGTATATATTATTGTTAATTATATTGTTTTCAAATTTTTAATGCTATTTATAGCTCATAATTTAGTGTTTATAAACGCAAGGATTAATTATAAATTTTATGCACATTACAATAACTATTTCATAACATATTAGATGATCAAGTGTGAAATCTTTAATCTTAAAATTAAAAACACGTTTATAGATAAAGTCATTTATATTATAACTTATGACTTAAAAGTTATGTATAGTTATTCATATTTAAAAACATTTATATTACTTACACTTGGTATGATATTGCAGAAAGTGAAGGACCAGATTCTATAATAAAATTCTTTAAATACCGAGCTTCTTCTTGAGTTTCACACGATCTAACGTCAGGGCCCATAATTAGAGAATTCATGTACCTAGGGAACGCTTCAAGTACTTTACGTAATCTGTTTGCATCCTTACCAAGTGACAAACCATCGATACGTGATCCAATCATTTGAATATCTGAATAATATTATTAGATTTATTATATTGCTATGATAAGTAGATTTAACATAGAAGTATTAAATTTTCGTTTCATACTTTCATTACTATAGGTAAATATCTATACCTACCATTGCCAATTTGGAACGCCATATTATAACCATGTTTATCCGAATATGATATAAGATCTAAGGTATTACTAAGATCCCACGATCCGTGTTGTCTATTCATAACATTTAAGCCAACAATTAAATCCAATCCAGTTTTGGCAATAAATTCATTTAATTGTGACCAATGCCAGCCAGTAATCGTTATATTGTTTCTCCCTTGTCTTACGGGATGGGTTTGTGACAATTTCGAAATGTCTTCACCTCCTTGAAACTTAAAAAAATTGCATTCTGGACCAGATATCCTTATGTACGCTGGATTTAAGCTTTTAGCCATGTTAATGGTGGCTGATCTATAATACAAAAATTAATTTAATTTATAAGGAAAGATTATACAACAATTATGAACACAAACCCAAGGTTTTTTTGCAATGCCGAAAATAAAGTTGATGGTTCAAGTGCAATACTTAAAAAATGATCACTAACGGTATGAATACATTTTTTAGTATTGATATTTATAGATAAAACGTTAGACGGATAACCTCCAGGTTGCACTAAAATACTTGGATTTTGTGCGTTTGTTAAACAAGTACCAAATAAGAGCAACGCTCCAAACCAAACAATGTTAAACATTGTATTATCTGCAACAAAAAATGTTCCTTTAATTCAATTATTACTAATTACATTAATTGTACATTAAAGTAATAGTGTTATTAATGTAAAAAAATGTATCACTATTGTGTCTTAAGTAATAAATTTAAATATAATGTAGTTCACAATTTCAATTGAATTTGATAATCGGCAGTATCGCCAGTACCTATGTATTATGTATATATACAGGGTGCGGCATAATGGACTCCCACATTTCCGAAGTGAATTAAAAAAAAACGATACAAGATAAAGAAAAAAAATTTTTATTTTTAAAAACTATATTATATAAGGTTTTTTTTAAATTATTTTTTAAAAATTATATCGTCTAAATGATTGCCTTGACGAGCAACGCACATATGGAGCCGTTCTCGAAAATTTTCCATCACTTTCGCCAGCATATCGAGTGGAATCGCGGAGATTTCTTGACGGATGGCCTCTTTTAGTTCTTCAATGGTTCTTGGTCGATGTTTGAAAACTTCAGCTTTGAGGTATCCCCATAAGAAATAATCACATGGGCTCAAATCAGGGGAGCGAGGAGGCCATGTAATGTTTTCCCTTAAAGAGATCAAGCGACCAGGAAACATTTTTTGCAATACAGCACGAGAACAACGGGCTGTATGAGCTGTGGCCCCGTCCTGTTGAAACCAGAAGACATCATTATTTTCATACTCTTCGATTTTCGGGCGTAAAAAGTTCTCCAACATCTCGCAGTACCGGTTGGAAGTCACAGTAACTGTAACATCACCCTCTTCAAAAAAATAAGGCCCCACGATGCCTACCGAGGACAAAGCACACCAAACTGTTACTTTAGGACTATGAAGAGGTCGTTGGTGTATTTTTAGAGGGTTTTCAGCAGCCCAATAACGAAAATTTTGTTTGTTCACTGTGCCAGAAATGTGGAAATGTGCTTCGTCGCTACTCCACACAATACCGTTGGGAGGCACAACTTTAAGGATTGCATTACAGCAATCTTTTCGTTTTCCCCAATCTGTTGGACTTAATTCCTGAGTTACCATAATCTTATATGGGTGTAATTTAAGATCACAGTGCAAAATTCGCCTTACCGTTCGATCCGATATCCCGAGAGCAGAGGCATGTTTCCGAGCAGAACGCGACGGAGACTGCTCTATCGATGTTCTTACTGCGGCAATGTTTTCCGGTGTTCTCACGGACTTAGGACGTCCAACCGGTTTTTTAGGCATTGCAGATCCCGTTGCTCTTAAATTTTGTACCCAATTCAAAATCGTTTTCCGATCAGGGACACTTTCGTTTGGATTCAAACTGAACCGAGTGCGAAATGCTCTCTGTGTCGCGATCACACATTCAGCGTTTTTGAAAAATGCCTCAATAACGAAACCACGTTGTTCACCAGACCACGGCATGATGACGACTAAAAACCTTATTAATAATCTAATCTAGCGAAATAAACCACTTTAATTTAATCAGTTTAATTACGCGCTAATGATTATTTGAAATATGGGAGTCCATTACGCCGCACCCTGTATATATATATATGCAATATGCATATCATATCACATAAAAAAAATATAAATGCCAATTGCGAATCACTTACCAAGAACGTAGAACGATATATTGGACGAATTTGTGTTGTTTAAATACGTAAAGAAACAAATTAAAAATATCAAGCACTGCACTAGTGACCACTTAATTTTTCTTTAACATTATGTTCTGAAAACTCGGCATGATTTGAGACATATTACACATATGCTTGTATATATAACGCGATGATATCTCCTGTAATGGAAACATAAACAATGGAGTTTGTTGTTATTTTAAATAGACATGTATACACTCGTGTACATAGTCGTGACATTTTTTAAATAACATTAATTCTGACGGAATCATCAACACGCAATCCCTCTTGTTTTCAACAATACTTGTTAATTTATGTGTTTCAAAATAAAAACAATTTTATTTGATGTTTTTCGTATTACTTATTTTATTTTTTTTTTGTTATTACTCAGGTGCTGTTCACCCGTGAAGTAATTTCATATAAGAATGCGGAACAATCTTGTATTTTTGTTTGAAAAGATCATTACACATTTATCATGTAATTTTCATCACTAATTCAATGAAAAAATAAATTTAATGAACATGTATATTTTAATTTTTATACATTAATAATATAGATAAAATATAAAACATATTATGCCAAGTAGCCAAGTTGCATAAATAACTAATTAATATAATGGTTCACCAAAATTAAATAAACTAATCGTGAGATTTTATTAATTTATTAAATGTTTATAGTAATAATTGTTTTGTGCAATAACTTACTAATTAATTAATTAATATAATTTATTATTATGCCAATAATATAATTAACAAAAAGTAATCGACGTTATTTATCGATAACCTTATGAATAGAACTATAGAAAAAATGTATTTGAATTTAAACCTTTTTGAACGAAAAGCATTTTAAGATTTTTTTACAATAATTGTAAATAATTATAATTTTCTATTCAGTAAAACTATTTCCCCGGTAGTTAGGTAATTAAATAATGGTTATAACTGATAAGTATACTTAATTAAATAATCTAATGATTATTTATTTTTAAATAATATAGAATTAAAATTTTGCAATGTAAGATATGAACATGACAAATCATCTTATTAAAGAAGATATCAGCACACTATATTTGTTTATTCTGACCCACTCACAGCTTAGATAAAACGTATTCATGCGCAGTCATTTTTTTTATGTTTTTGAATAATCATAGAGTAAAATTACCCATTACAAAAATAATAAAGAATAATATTTTTATGGATTTTTCATATAATTTTTAAAAGTATCATCATTATTATCAAAACTTTTTCCATTTTTTAAGTCATATAATAGAGTATAAAACCAATATGTCAAATACTCAAAAATATTATTCTCTATATCTTTGGTAGTAGGTGATTGTAATTTTATTCTAAGATTATTCAAAAACCATAAATATTGCGCTTTTCTCTTAAAAAAAAAATGATCATAAAATTCTCAAATATCATACTGTAAAATACTTTTTCTCACACAAAAAATAACGAAATATCAAACATAGTATAAAATATTCTTACACTTTTAGTACATATTTTCCTTTTGAACAATTCGCTTATTTTTATTTATTTACAGAACACTCCATTTACAATAGGTACTATGATACATATTACAAACAAATGGTCAATAGTCATATTTCATATCAAGAAAAAAAAACAATATTTTGGTTGATTTTATAACCACTTAATGTTTTGTAGTTTTTGGATTTTAGCTTATTGTTTTTCAATAAATGTTATGTGATATTTATTATTTAAATTTGATGCGTAAAATGTTTTCAAGAGGAAAATGAAAACAATTTTAAATTCATAGATAATTTACAGCAGTAAAAATATATCTCACTACATTTTTATACTTATACTTATATAAAGTATAAACCATATTAATACATTATGAATTATTATTATATAAATTAATTGCTGGAATGTTAGTTTCTGTACTGTTTGAAAATTATCTACGGTAAAAAAATCTTCTAGTCACTAGAATAATTTGTATAGTAAATACAAAATTCAAATTTATGTTATAATTACATTATTTTTATGACTTAAAAATAATTTTGTCTTCATTTTATTAACATTGACTAATATTTATTTTATTGTTTACTAAAGTGATTTTTAAATAGTGGATTTTAAAACACTTGTAACAATGTAACCTACATACTACATATTTAGTAAAACAAAATTATTCCTAGTTGAACGATTATATTCCTGCAGCAACAATAGTATAAAGAAGTTATAATCATAATAAACCTTAGGCTTAATTAATTTAAAAACATGTTTAGACACTATAGGTATTAGATAAAAAATAAATTTAATGAATTGATAAACGTGTAAGCTGCTAAATAAAATAAACACCCATACACTCATTGGCCTAAATGTATTGGCAAGGGTGAACAAGAATGGACTAGGGTAAGCACTATTACTCCTCCCTGAATTTTTTCACTAAACGTTTAACAAATATTAGAACCTTCCAAAATATTCAAAAAATACAAAAAACATGTAAAACACAAATTTGCAAAAACAGTTATTACTATTTTTATTTTTATCAATTAAAATATCTTTATTAGTTGTATAATATTATCTAAAACTATTCATAGATTAAGATTAATTTTTAGTAATGGTTTTTTTTTTTTCATGAACAATGTTATTACAGTATTCTTACTGAAGCGAAGAAAACTAGTACATAAGTATACTCACAGATAATTGTTAAACAAATAATAAAATTGAATTCTTTGCCATTAAACGCAGGTCTAAATTTGTGAAAACCTACGTAAAGTAATATAAAAGATTAAATAAATTACGAAAGAAAATACTTTATGGTATTTTTATAAATTAATAAATCGTAATTCCTAATGTTATCTATTAACCTAATTGTAGACGTTCAAATAAAAATTAATAAAAAAAAAAATTATGGCATAATATTAAATTTCAACATGCATATTATTTTTTCCAATTACATCACTGCATATCATTGATACAAAATATAATGTTTATTTAAATTTTTTGTTACCGTAAATATTATTAATACTGCACATTTGTATCATCATAGTCACCCATCGGTTTTATTAAAACAAGTTTTTAACTTTTTATTTATTGCAACATACAGGCTTACTGCTTAGAAGTTACCTACTCACTTACTGTATATAATATAGTGTTTAAGACACTTTGATTTTTAAATAACTATATAATTTATAAAATTAATTATACATAAAGGGCAGAATATTCACAGAAATATAATCCGTCTGAAGGTTAATGCTGCCATCGTACGACAAACTAAACGACGTAATTTTAAACACATAGTTGTTTGGCGCGCTCGTATCACGTGTAGACAGTACAGCCGTCGGAACCACTGAATGGCCGATTTGTTGTCGCCGCGAGATGGTTACACTGTCGATAATCAACGGGATAATGGCAAACGCAACCGCATTCAGGAGCTACGTTGTCGTTTGTTTTGTTTGGGGTTGTGTTTGTGAAATTCATTGATTGCTGCTTTACAAAATTAATCTTTTACCACCAAGTTTTGTTGGTACTTTATACTTGTTTCCCGGTAAATTTGTAAATTTCAATTTACGATCCCGCTGGTCTGGTCACTGGTAGCGGCAGAAGACTTGCTGATCTGAACGGTTAAAACACTTAAAACACCGGTTCGCGCACTTGGGCGTCATAACACGTAAACGTAAGTGCGTCGAACAACATTTATTGCTGCATTATACACCGTCAGCGGTGAACGTAGCGTACACGCGCGCAACGATGTGGGTCTGGACGATGCACTGACGACTTGCCGTTTCTTGTGAAGCTCATACAGTAGTCATTATCATCGTCGCAGCTGCCCTGCTGTTTCGTTGTCTGCCGAACTAATATCGTTGTGCTTTCTATTAATCTACTCCTAACCGTTGTTTGCTTGTGTGTAGGACGATGGGCGATTATATACACACAAACATTGCCCAAGACAATGTGGCGATGGTACGACTTGAGCTGGCACAGAACGATCAGATACCACTGCGGCGACCTTTCGACCCGCTCATCCATGACCTGGACCCGCACTTTAAGCTGACCAGGTTTGCCGACCTCAAAGGACGTGGTTGCAAAGTGCCCCAAGAAGTGCTCAACAAGCTCCTGGAAGGTTTCCAACAGGATGAAAATGGCCATGGTGAACAGTCTCACTTCATGCACATGACCATGACCAAAATTGGTATTGGGATGGATGCTGCTGTCGTACCCATTAGGCACGGTGGCCTGTCACTGGTACAGACAACCGATTATTTTTATCCTCTTGTTGACGATCCATTTGTCATGGGAAAAATTGCTTGCTCTAACGTTCTGAGTGACTTGTATGCCATGGGCGTGACCGAATGTGACAATATGCTCATGTTACTTTCTGTATCTACTAAAATGACTGAAAAAGAACGAGACGTTGTGATACCATTAATAATGAAAGGTTTTAAAGAAACTGCTTTTGAAGCTGGTACTACAGTGACGGGTGGGCAAACTGTTGTTAATCCATGGTGTACTATTGGAGGTGTTGCTACTACTGTTTGTCAACCAAATGAATTTATCATACCAGATAATGCTGTTGTTGGTGATGTTCTTGTACTAACCAAACCTCTTGGAACACAGGTTGCTGTAAATGCTCATCAGTGGGTAGACCAACAAGATAAATGGAATAGAATAAAACTAATTGTTTCAGAAGAGGATGTGAGAAAAGCTTATCAACGTTCTATGGACTCAATGGCTCGTTTAAATAAAACTGCAGCTAAATTGATGCACAAATACAATGCTCATGGTGCAACAGATGTCACTGGTTTTGGTTTATTAGGTCATGCCCAAACATTAGCAAAACATCAAAAAAATGAAGTATCATTTGTCATACACAATCTTCCAGTAATTGCCAAAATGGCATCTGTAGCAAAAGCATGTGGCAATATGTTCCAATTGTTACAAGGTCATTCAGCTGAGACATCAGGTGGACTTTTAATTTGCTTACCAAGAGAACAAGCTGCAGCATATTGCAAGGATATTGAAAAAGTAGAAGGGTATCAGGCATGGATCATAGGTATTGTGGAGAAAGGCAATCGCACTGCGCGAATAATAGATAAACCTAGAGTAATAGAAGTTCCAGCTAAAGAAAAAGATGGAGAACTGTGGTAGGACTCTAATTAAATTAGTGCCATTGACTTGGGAAGTTGTAAGAAATATACATT